GTATGTAGCCTAATAAACAACAGGCCACTTGTTGATCAGCTGTCTGCCTCAGAATAGCAGGACGTCTTAAGACCAGCTTGAGATCGGGGACAAACACCCACTCAGTGTTTTGTGTGCCAAAGAAACTGTGCTCCGCGGTGGAGGAAAAAGAAGAACGTGTTTGGTTGTGGCTACCTACTGAACCATGCAGGTGCCGGTGCAGAGGGAGGTGTTAACTTACTGGTGCAGTACTGGTGGTATCTGTCCCAGGCGATGGCGGCTATGAAGTGGATGCTGGCGAGAGCTGTGACGAAGCCCTGGAAACCGTGAGTCTGGCAACCATCAGAGCCGTAAGGCCAGTATCTGGAGACACATACATACCACATAAACATACATTAATACACTCATAAACAGAAAAATGACAAAGAAATGTTCTCTACAGCATGTGCTAAAAATGATCCTCTCAAACATGGTGAAACTAAAGGAAAAAGCAATCAAGCAATATACTTATTTCCGCCAATGGATCTTTATTTAAAGCATGCATAAAATTAATAGAATATATAATCACTCATGGGTGTATATTTAAAGAATAAATAATAAAAATAAGAGTATAATCCCTGGAGCAGCATCTCTCATCTCCTGATTACAGGCTGAAAATCCTCTGCACTTTATGACAAAGGCTGGTTCCATGTATTGAGCGGCCCCCCCCCCCCCCCCCCTCTCTGAAGCCCTGACTGCTCCTCGATTACTTTTATGCTCCGGCTCTAGGTCGATTATTCCCCTCGAGGGCAAATAGAAGTTGTTATACCAACAATATCATTTACTCATTGCATATCATTTATGGCCACTGTACACTCCGACCCTTATGAAAGGAGGTGGCTGTTACATCACTCACCTCAGGAAGCTGGAGAAAGCGGCGATGGTGGCGTTCATGGAGATGCCACAGTCAGCTAACGCTAAACTGAAGACGAGGTAGTTGCTCGGGGTCCTCAGCTCTCTCACTTTGAGGAAGGCGACGATTGTCACCATATTAAGGAAGAAGCCCAGCAGACCTTCAATAGAGGAGGAATGAGCAGTTTATATTGTGCAAGAAGGCAGTGTTTACGCGGGGAGAAACAGTGAGCAGAACGAGATGCACTGTATCGCGCCGCATGCAGCACCGTAACATTTCATAATTGAAGATATTAGTGTACAGTGTATAAGTGGAGGTTATTCTGGTATTTTACAGTGAAAAATACAGATCCTTCCTCTCGTAACATTAAAGCCTGGTGTCAGTGACCGAGCGGCTTAAGGTCCTGTCAGAGGTGGATGTTACAGCTGGCGCAGCCCTCGCAGGATTTGGTTGAATTCCAACACAAAACAAAACCACTCACCCTCCACCAGCAGACATGATCCCAGGGAGAACACATCAAAGTCGGAGAAGCCCTCCGGTAACGGGTACGTTGCAACCATCCTGAAGCCGAACTGACAAAAACCCTCAAAGTGCAGCTGTCACAGACTTTTCACTCCTCGCCTCTGCTCGTTTACGATGTGCCTGGATGAAAGCGAAGCGAGTCCGCTTTTAAAGGGGCATTTCACGTGAAAAGCATGCACTTCATTATGTAAAGCCCCCCTCTCTCTGTCGCCCCAATCCGTGCAGGAATGCCTTAATGAACAGAACCACACAAACCGCAGCTCTTAATGCGTATTTGCCCACCGCAACAGCAAAGCCCTCAATTAGTTACACAACAAGCCTTTGTGCGTCCGCGCCCCGGTGAGGATGCAGCCGCTGCTGATGTCAAACGACGAGGCGACACGTTTGATGCAGCCGAGCAGCTCCGCGTAGCTTTCACTGCACACAACAGGTGTCTGCAGAGCTGCAGCCTCAAAACACTCAAATCTATCCTACTCCCCAAATTTGATATATGTACATTTTCAAATAATAATTTTAATATGTTTAGACTCATGGTTGTTGTTTTTTTTGCTATAGGTGCTGCATTACAGTTTGACTGATGTCACATCCAGAGGCTACAGATACAAATATGCTCATGTCAGTATGTCTACAGACACGGGGTTTGTGCTTCTATCTGCACGCAATCATACGAGCAAACCATTCAGTATTCCCAGATAATCTGTCTTTGATCATGTAGTCATTTATTTCAGTTTAAAATCAAATGCATCATTCTAATCACTCTGCTCATTCACTGATTGATCAACAAGGCTTTTATCACACTACAGAGGATCTATGTTATTTCCACTCAGTTTGTCATGTGACAGGACAATTGTTTCTGAACTTGAACACATCAGCATTTGCTTTGTTGCAATTTTCCAGGGAATCAATCTCTGGACAGACACACTGACCTCTAGAGATTAAACCAACTGGTCATCTGTCTAAATTGAAAAACCAATAAATCCATTTTAAGGGAGGCAGACATATCGAAAGTAAATGACGGCTCAGTTCAGCCTGGAGTTTCATGTGTGTTAAGGGCACACATGTTGCGTACAATAAAAGCCTGTGTTGCAGTTCCGCTTTAGCCGACCTCCATGTGTGTTAATGACATAAAATCCAGCCATCATACTAAGCATCCAATGGATTTGTCATGTTTCATGCAGTTGCAACATCAATTGCAGCTTTTCATGCCAAGGGGTTAGAGGGGACACAGGCCTGACATTGTGTGGCTGTAGTCGGTCTCAATCACAAGATTATAAGATCAGAAAACTTGAGAAACATAGGTAAAACTATGTAAAGTCTGTTAATCATATGGAGGACAAGATTGAACATTTCAAATTCCTAATTGTAGAACTCTTTATATCCTCGCAAAAAATGGCTATTTCTGAATTTACATTTAAGAATTTGTGTATCAGACTGAGAAGGAAACCAACCAAATTTAAGAACATTTGTGAGAATGTATAGAGATGAATTTCATGTGTTGTGTGATGATCATGGACAAAGATCTGAGTCTCAATTGAATCCAACATGACTTTAAAAATGAATCTGTCACAGTTTTGCCTTAGCTTGCTTTTCAAAAAGTGCTATTTTTAAAATGCTGGTCCCAATACAAAACTATAAAATCCAAAATCCAAAATCATTTGCTTTCCAGATTTACTGAAGAATATACTCAAAGGTGTAAAGAAATGTTCACACAAGTACTGTAAGTCATATCTGTATGCTTTTTAATTGAATTTATTTTTAGTAATTGGCAACTTCAAATCCTATGAAATGCTACTTTAGTACATATCAGTTCTCATGATGCTGTGCACATTAAGAATGACGTTGCACCTTAAATAATGTCCAGCCTTCATACAACGTGAAAAGAAACCTTTATTACCCTCAGTACATGAGATTAACTGCTTGAGTGTAATATGGAATGTTTACGTTTTAAAACACGAGGGAGTGTGATTGCTCAACACATTAGAGCCTCATGAAAGACCTGCAAACACTTAAACTACACTGAAAACATATGGCTCTACACTAAAAGGTTGATTGAATTAAAAAAGACAGAATACTATACATAGTTTTTTAAACTCAAAACACATTCACTGGAGCGGCTGAGGCTCAGCTGGTATTCATCGTCTCTCAACCAGAAGGTCGAGGGTTTGATCCTAAGCTCCTGCAGCAACATGTCCGATGTGTCCTTGGGCAAGACACTTAACCCCAAATTGCTCCTACTGCTATGTCTGCGGTGTAGAAATGTGTATGATGGGATTAGTCACTTCTGATGGTCTCACTACTAGCAAGAACTGCCAGCAGTGTGTGAATGGGTGTGAATGGGTAGGTGTGACATGTGGTCTATAAGCGCCCCTCGCTATATAAGCTCAAGTCCATTTACCATTTACAGGAGAGAGACAAACTGCTATCCGTACTTCTAACTGCAGTAGTTTACATTTCTATGAATCTGTTATTAATATCTTCATCCTTTTTACAGTTTTTGTTGTGCTCTGTGTTTGAATGTGGGTCAGATGTGAAGAGGGCTTTTTGCCTTCAAGTGAAACACAGAGTCAATCCAGCCCTGTGTTTCGTCATCTCTGCATGCCAGCTTCCTTTGTAGAGCCAGCCAAGTGTGTAACACTACACTTCCAGCGTGATGGGAACTGTGCCAACTCACTCATAGTATTTACAGAAATTGCAAAACAAAAGCTTTACAAGTGGGGGACTTTTTCTCCTCTGTGGGACTCTGTCCAATTGGATTACTGATATGCAATCGAAAAGCCACCATGCGGCTCTGTCATTCAAACTGACATATATTCCAAGTATTTTCTCTCTTGTATTCTAAGATGTGTGGGTTCAGAAATTACTAATTCCTTCACTGAATCAGTGCTGATGATAACCAAAATCTACAATTTAGTGGCTGCACATGTAATCCCATGTGCATATAAAATATCAAATGCAGTGTTTTTGCCAAAGGGGAAAACTTCATTTAAAATGTAAGAAGAAGAAATGATTCTATTCTATACATAGTTTGGTTAATGTTGAACACAAAACTTCATTTTGATTGTATGTGCTCAAAGTACCTGCTTGTTTGTCAGTGATTAATGCCTAAAAAGCATGGCCATTTTAATTTACTTTTCATTTTTTCATTGCATGAAACATGGCTAAATGTCCCTGTGTTTGTATGGTTTATTGATTGTCTCATTGCAGGGATATTAGTTGTTTTATAGTACTACTATCAAATGTTTCAAAAAGAAACGGGATGGCAGATATGAAATGTTAAGTGAACATCTGTTGAGTGGTCCGAAGGTAGCAGTCACAGGCTGTGATATAGGGGCCACCTTGTGGTAAAACAAAGTGCTGTCCACTTACAGATTAACAGTCACGGCAGGGCTCAAATGCACAAACTACATTTGAGGGACAGAAAAAAAAATCCAAACATCACAGTGGATTATGACCATTTCGGAAGTGTTTTTCTGTGATAATAAATAGGGACGTCTCTGCGCAGCCTATCGGATTCAGGGATGCAATACGCATCCAAATGAAAAGAACGCCAGTCCTTTCGCTAATCCTTGTCTATCCTTTTTATCTCGGGACTCATAGCAGTCGGATCACTATGGGACAGCGAAGCGGTGGGACAAAGCCATGCGGAAGATATTGCTGTAAATGAGAGAAAAAAAACAAGTCTGTTTGACTTCAGTGCATGGGCGCAAACTGGGCGCATGTAGGCAAGCTGCGTATGCGTAAAAGTTGGCCAAAATGTTCCTCGTACTGCTCCTGGGGCTCTACGTGGCCACAGGTGAACTTTTCTCCCCAGTGAGCTCGTGTCCGGCGCAGTGCAGCTGTTTTTACCACAACCTGAGTGATGGATCAAAGGCCAGGTAAGAAGAGTGTCCAAATGAAAGTGATTTTCTGACAAAACACACTAGATTTTGTTCTAGTTTGTGCGTAAATACGCATCTAGACGGACAGGTCTTGTCCTCTTAACAGGACAGATGTTTGCACGGAGGTGAACACGTGTACAAAAGATAATTCAGGGAGTGCATGACGGTCCAATTTTATTTAATGCAGGATTATCTCTCAAAGGCACTTTCAACCCCCCCTATCTATGCGCTTCATGCGTGTTTGGGTGGGCTGGGAAATGAGCATTTTTGAGAATTAGCCAGTTTATTTATGCGGCCTGTGAATTCATCACATATTGTTACATATTTTAGATTTCTAAACATCATTTATTACAACTTCAATACTAGTACACGATTGATTATTTAAATTTAAATTTACTTTTTTATACATTAAAATATGTCTTTGCCTTGTTAGAAAAGTGAGAACATATTTCTGATGTCTCCCTTTTAGGAGCGTGATCTGCAATGATCCCGACATCTCTCTTGTGCCTGTCGGGTTCCCTGTTGACACGTCCAAACTGCGGATTGAGAAGACGGCCATCCAGCGGATACCAAGCGAAGCCTTCAACTACCTCTCCAGTCTGGAATTCTTGTGGATGTCTTTCAACACACTGTCCGCCTTGAACCCGGACAGTTTCCGGGGACTGTACAACCTGGAAGAGCTTCGTCTGGACGGGAATGCCCTCACCGCCTTTCCCTGGGAATCTCTTATGGATATGCCCAGTCTCAGACTTCTCGATTTGCACAACAACCAGCTCACCTCGCTGCCCGCGGAGGCCACCTCTTACATCAAGAATCTCACCTACCTGGATTTGTCCAGCAACAGCCTGCTGACCCTGCCGACAGAGGTGCTGTCCACCTGGCTGGCGGCAAAACCTGTGCAGGGGCCAGAGAGCTCCAAAATGATACTTGGTAAGACCCAGTGCTCATCCTCACATCCAACCTCGTTTCATCCAAATCTTCATCTCGAAGTTTACCACTCAGACAAAATGTTTAACATTGTGCCTAATGAAAAGTTATAAAGCAAATTTTACGCATAGCACTTCCAAACTTAAGCTACACAACACAGTAAATGACCAATACATAATTATCTTTAGTTTCTGCAGTTCTGATATAGAATGTATCGCTGTTGCTAATAGATCTAATAAGTGCCCCCTAAATGTGCTTAAAAAATAATTTAATGACCAATAATTAACATTCATAAATGGTAGAATAACTGGATGTGCTTTTAAAGATATATAAGTGTGTTTTCAATGTATTTTGTCAAAAGTTAAATAACCCTCCCTCTGTGGGCATTATAATCATAAGTGGAAGCATAAGGTACAACTTGAAAATAAAGTAAACAGTTATTATGATATATCCCTATAAATGTCTTAAAAGGGGTGTTTTATCCCTGACAAATACTTGAACACTTATGACCATATATTTGCTTATTTGACTTTGACTAAATACTTTTAAAGCCAAGGACACAAACATTTAGTTATACTTTACATGTGGATGGCCTTTGTGTTTTTTTTTTTCTTTTAATCTAGAACAACTACATTCGCCGTGTTGCTGCACTTCATAGCCAACTACATGTAGAGCACAGGTTTCATACAAAGTTCATTTTGCACTTTTTGCTTTTTACTTCATCGTTAATCTCAGAAACACAGACAGCTCGTCCAGGTTTAGATGTCTGTTTCAGTGCTACATTCAAGGACAGGAGCGTGGGATGACTGGAGTCTGACCTTGCCCACCAGACCACCTCCACTATCTTCATCACCACCATACTCATCATCATTGCCGTAGTCATGGTCATGATGTAGTTTATGAATTAAAAGTTAATCCTCTTACAGGATTAGCATCCTAACATCCACATCGGCCATCTGCAGGCTGCTCCATCACTTTGCCCACAGCTGGACGCTCGTCTTTCTTCTAGCCTCACTTGTTCCCTCTTCCCCAGGTCTCCATGACAACCCTTGGGTGTGTGATTGTCGGCTCTATGACCTGGTCCAGTTCCAGAAATCTCCAACTCTCTCAGTGGCTTTCATCGACACGAGACTGCGTTGTTCAGCTCCCGAGAGCCTCTCAGGGGTCTTGTTCAGTGACGCGGAGCTGCGGCGCTGTCAGCTCCCACGCATCCACACAGCTGTAGCGCGAGTCCGGAGCGCTGTGGGGAACAATGTGCTGCTCAGGTGTGGGACCATTGGAGTTCCAATCCCAGACCTGACATGGCGCAAGGCGGATGGACGAGCCCTGAATGGAACAGGTGGGTCACTTGATCTTTGACTGCCAGGGTGTAGCTCTCTGTTGAGCCTGCGATAAGATGCTTTTGTCTGCAGTGTAGAGCTGCTGTTAATTAAACAGAGAGCCTCCAGTGGAGATAGAGAGGCTATAAGTCTGACTGACAGCTGCTGTGGCTACAACGCTGAGTTATGCAACACTGAGGATAATCAATGCAACATTGAATAATCAACTGCTTGGCATCTCTTTGCACATTTATTTAACGATTGTGTCCTCCACAGTCCAGCAGGAAACCTCAAAGGAAGGGATCACCTGGTCCATCCTCAGCGTCCCAGCAGTGTCCTACCGTGATTCAGGGAAATACATCTGCAAGGCCACAAACTACGCAGGGAACGCTGAAGCTGTCATTTCTCTGCTTGTCTCTAACTCACCAAAACCAGAGGGGAACCAGACCCTCAACGACAAGAGAGCCAAAGTTAAGAAACCTAACCCGGTGGGTAAAGCTGCCTACCAAGAGAGACTTGTTGCCAGATATGTAGTTCCAACCTCCTCCTCTTCATCTCTGGATCCAGGCCTTCCACCTGGCCTCGGTCCTGACCCTGGAGTTGCCGGTTATAGCCTGGCAGACAGAGCCACCCCAGGGCCCGCCACCTCTTCAAACCCAGACTCCCTACTGGATCTGGAGAAGACTAACCTAAGCAACCTTGCCGCCAACACCTCGTCCCTGCAGCAGGACCCGGACAGGGTTGTCCGCTCTGTGAAGGTGGTGGGGGACACAGACAATACCATCTCTCTAAACTGGAGAGCCCCTAAAGCAAAGAACACCACAGCTTTCAGTGTGCTATATGCTGTGTTTGGAGAGAGGGATATGAGGAAGATCAATGTGGGGGCCGGGCAGAATCGGGTCACCATTGAGGGTTTGGTGCCCAGGACCAAGTACATTGCCTGCGTGTGTGTGCGGGGACTGATCCCCAAAAAGGAGCAGTGTGTCATATTTTCAACAGACGAAGCAGCAAGTGCTACGGGCACCCAGAGGCTTATTAATGTGATTGTCATCACAGTGGCCTGTATCATCGCTGTCCCCCTCACAGTCATCGTGTGCTGCGGGGCGCTGAAGAGACGCATCCAGAAGTACTGGGGGAAGAAATCCAAGGACATCCAAGACTCATATGTGACCTTTGAGACTCTGTCGCCCGGCACTAAGGCCAAAGGCCTGGAAGGGGAGTATTTGAACAGACTGAACCCAGAGGAGTCCAACAGACTGCTGTCCGCCCGCTCCAGCCTGGACTCCGAGGCCACAGCTAAGATAGAGGGACAGCCTAATGAGTACTTCTGCTGACATCATGCTCCAGCTCCAGCTTCTGCTCCACATCATCTTCCTCGCATTCACCCGCATCCAATCTCCAGTCCCAATCTCAACCCCCACTCAAATCGCCATCCTCATCCTCATCCGATCCTCATCCGAATCCTCATCCCCATCACCAGTCCAATCCCCATCTCCACCCTCGCCCGTATCCGCATCACTACCAATACTCTCATCCGCAGCATCATCCTGACGTCAGCCCCCCTCCCTCGCGCTCCCACACGCCCACACCCTGGGATTCCCCCCCACCTGTCCCTCCTCGCTGGATCATGCCGCCCACACCGCCGCCGCAGAGAGCCAACTTCTATCAGAGGACTTTTGCTCGCTGCACCATCATGGAAATATCGGTTTAGGAAGGTTTTAAATTTTAAAAGAACTTGTTTTTCAAGATACAGTATAAGCAGAATATTTCATGATTCTTTTAGAAAATATTCACACACACACTTTTTAATGTCTAAAAATTGTTTTGTTTTTTTATCACAAAGCCAGTAAGAAGAAAACATGTGAAAAGTAAAAGGAGCATAACAATTATTAGAATTCATTTCTCATCTCATTTGCATGGCCCAGCGAAGAAAAAACCTCCACATCCTGATCTGACTGAAAAGGAACTCAAAGGTCGATCCTCCGGTGTTTTTGTCACATATGTATGTGTATGATTTGTATATACTGTGCTGGATGATGAACACTTACATATACAGTTAAGTCTGTGCCTCTGTATATATCTGTCATACGTTCTCAGAGAAGATATACACACAGGCATGGTTCAACACTCTGGTGATGGAGAAAAGCCGGAGCTGGAGAGAAGTACAGAAAGGACTGAACTATGACACTTTGTAAATAAGGTGGAGAAGATTCAAAATGTTAAATAATTTCTATTCCCCACAATGAGACACCTACTAAAAATATCTCTATGTACCTGTTTAGTGCCACCTAGATTCATCATTACCCCATTCAATGTAGATCTTTTAAGTCCAATGATATTATTTGAATTCAGACAAATAAACTTTTATATTCAAATGTCCACATAGAGGTATTGTGTGTTTTTAAATGTCTACTTTTAACTCACTGTTTTGGATGGGATTTAGTTCAGCAAGGATTTTAAAAGGGTGGCTCAAATGACACTTTTGATCGTATTCATGTGGATTTACCAACTGGATCAGTCATTGTTTTGACGCAGGTGGTGTTATTAATATTGATATTAATCACTTTATTTAGAAAGCATGCATATTAACATGACGCTTCCCGATAGAGACAGAAAAAAGAACACAGCAGATGAAAACAAACAGAAAATAAGAAGTGACTGTATTATACCATAAAAGGTTTGTATGAGAGCCATTTATATTCAGTTAGAAACATCTTTTGGATTAGGGGAAGCTGTCCTCCAATGCCCCTCTTATTGTCTTTGCAGATAATACTGACCATTTCTTGACAATGTATTAGCATTTATGTGTCAATATCCCCATAAATAGCCTCTGAGACCTCATAATTTCTAAGAGAAAAAGCTGAGATTTTTCATTTAACGTCACAACCATTGTAGTGAAAAATTCTGTTTATGGATGGACAGCCCTTTGAGATGAACCATCTCGTTTTCGAGCGGGTCCAACATTATATAGAGTCGACCTTAGGCTGTCAAAATGTCATGGTGGTCAAGCTCCAGCACTTTAAACAAATAAACTGCAGGCTAACAATGTACGAGCAACCCTCAAAATATGTTCATCCTGTCATGGACAAACTGAATAAGAGTAAATACATTTCCATTGCCTAGTGTTCATTTCCAGACAGAAATCAAGTCACTATCTCACTAATATATTGTAGTTTTTTTTGGAAATGACAGGGTTGGGAAACAAAATGATAACAGTGGACGTCCTGTAGAGTTCATCCAGCCTCCACTGAAGAAAGACAAATTCAGATATTTATGTCACTGACTGCATCAGCTGTTTTTTTTTTAAGGGCAGTTATCCCATAATGATGGGGTAGACATCGTTGGGCCCCCATATGAGGTGAGGCCCTTTAAATACAAGAATAAACAGCTGTGGATGTGGGAAGGGGCCCTTTTTTTAAATAGGGCTCAGAGTTATGTGCTACAACTGTGAATAGATACCATTTGAAACATGATATGTGCATTCTTACAGCTTTATTGATTAATCATTATTATTAATTATTGTCTTGCCAACTCTTTTATTTAATTAGATACAAGGGGGGGGGACTAAGGTTTGTTTTTCTTGCTTCCATGACAACCCTAACATTTCCGTTTTTTAATGGCCCATACATGATAGATACAGCGTGAGTAATTCGTAAACGAGGCTACGTTAGTAACAACATCCTCGAGGTCAATCAGAAAGTTGTGCCTATTTAAACCTTTTTTTGGGTCAGACATGCTGACACAGTCATCGTGAGGTTAATCGCGCGTGTCCCTCCCAATAACCAGACGCCACTTGTTGAATACGCGCTGCTTTACGTCACGGATTAAGTTTAATAAGCCTCTCCCGTCTGCCGCAGTCGGTATGCCTTAAGCACGAATGTAGTCCTTAACTTTAGGTATTTTTCGCAGACTATGGACACACTTTGTTACCTGCTGGTTATAGCTGTGTTTGCAGGTCAGACTTACGAGACTTTCGCTCAGTGTTTACGCGGGTGTAGCTGTGTAGAAGACCGCCATGGAAGGTAAGACCTACTTTCACATAGTCCAATCTAAACCAAGCCACAGGTAGGCTATTTTTAACCTGTGTAACTGTGTCAATGGATGACGGTCGACGAATTAAAGACATATGGTGAAGCCTTTAAGAAATTTGACTAGCCTGTTAAGTAAATAAAAGATACGATTAAAGAGGTGTGTTGAGGTCGAGATCTAAGTTGATTTTGTTTATGAAGCATCTGGTTAATGAGTGACCCAATGTCGCTTTGATCACAGGTCTCTTGTTTGTATGGAGGAGAGCGCGTTTGGAGCCATACCAGAAAACCTTCCAGATGATATGACCAAAATCCGAATAGAAAAATCACACTTCACAGAAATACCCAGAGGTGCTTTCTCAAAAACACCCGCCTTGGAGAACCTGTGGTTGAACTTCAATGATATCACAGTCATAAACTCAAAGGGCCTTGAAGGTTTGGGGAACTTAACCGAGCTCCGTCTGCAGGGAAACAAGCTACGTTCAGTACCATGGACAGCGTTCGAGGACACGCCGGCCCTCAAGATCCTGGACCTAAAGCACAACCAGCTGGACGTCCTGCCAGAGCATGCGTTAAGATATTTGCCGGGTCTGACTTATTTAGACTTGTCTTTCAATCGGCTGACGGTCATATCGAAGGAGGTCTTCCAGAACTGGCCTCTAGTCCAAAAGCTGCAGAGCATGGAGGAGCGGGAGGCGAGCGTTTCCGGGCCGAACGTCGTCCTGGCGCTCCACGACAACGCGTGGCTCTGCGACTGCCGGCTGAAGGGCTTCGTGGAGTTCATCAGGTCTCTAAGGCCCCCGATTATACTGATGAACTCCTACTTGACCTGCTCAGGGCCGGACTTTAGGGCGGGAAAGTTCTTCCATGAGGTTGAGCTGCAGGCGTGCGTCAAACCCATCGTGTCCACCACGTCCGCAAACTTTAGCCTGCCCCTGGGCGCAAACGTCACCCTGCGCTGCCTCGCTAAGGCCCGGCCGGACCCGTCGGTGTGGTGGACATATGGCCTGAAGATAATCAGAGGATTTCATGGTAAGAGTGAGATGCACACATCATATGATATCTTGTCTTTAATTAGATACTTAAACACACATTATAATCTCTAACTCCTCTGGAACATGAGGGTCAATCTCCATATTGGCCCACAACACCATCACTGTTGATTAAGAGTGTTGGGGATTAACCGGAGTCTAATATCAGCCGTGTTGGGCTATACTGTGAAATGTAGTAAACATCTGCGTCATTATACTAAACCTTTAGTGGAGTGTTTACTGAAGAGCATCTCTGCAAGTATCAGTCCAACTCAGCTAACACCCAGCAGGCAGCTGCTTCTCTAGTGTCTATTTAAAGAAGCCTGAGGTAAGTTGAGTAGCATACACTCAAGTTAAGGTGCTTTAAGCTTGACAAACAGACCGCACAAGTAGAAATAAATGTGGGTCAGTCTTTATAATAACATTAAAAGTCTTTCAAAAGGTTCATAAAATGAAGCTACTGGTTTAAGACTGGTTAATTTAAAGTAAACTAATGCAAACATTTCAGGTCTTCTTTTTTCCCCTAGGTTGCTAAAAAGGGTCCTTAATAGTGAACATCTTCTATGAAATAGTAATTTAAGACTAAACTATAAAGTCTGCTATAAATATTGTTTAAAATATCTGGTTAGATATTTCTCTGAGTCCAACAGTGAAAACTAAACTTTTTTTTATTTTTCATTAAATGAATCATTTTCCGATTAATAATGATAAAATGAAAGAAACAGATCTACGAAATATTACATTTCGAGGTCTTTAAAGCTCCCTTTAAGGAATTTTGGGGTTGTGCCAACTTTGGACCCAGCAGCAGGAGTGAGGCATATGAAATAACTGCATAATAAATATTCTCTCGCTGATGGTATCGGTATTAAATTCAGTCTCTTTTATAACTAGTTGAAAACTCCTCACAGGAGCTTAAATAAACCCTAAAATACCAACTTATGACCGAAGAATTCTTACCCTTTTATTATATTACTCAATTTCTCAAGGGAAATCACAAATATCCCATACATACAAAATCAGTATTAAATGATAAACTGTAAGTAAACAATATTCTTTACACTGTACAGTATATTGCTCACAATGCGCTCACAGCATGTTTGCAACAAAAGTCCCACAAAGTAAAATATTTCATTGTCTGGGTACATTGGTCAGAAAAAAAACTATTAATTTGATCAAGACATTAAACATGTTTTTTTTATTATTTTTTCCTGATCTTTTAGTTATCATATGATAATGGAGTAATTGAGCATATAATATAATTGATATAAAAGATAACTGCATGCCTTACATCTATTTTAAAGCTGTTAATGGCTGCATGTATCAGTTATTTGTGTTGTGCATATGTGAATTGAGTCCAATTGTTCCTAAAATTAACACATGTGGCACAATTTGCTGGCTTACTTGAATGTTGGGAAATAAGTTGTGTTCATTTTCAATCTAATTATGTTTCTAATTTCTCTAATAATAACAATGTATATCTGTATTGTCCTCCCAGAATCCCTGGAGAGAGTGGATGAAGACACCATGAGATCCCTGCTGGTGATCCCCTCCCTGCACGCAGCAGACCGCGGCATCTACACCTGCACCGCCGTCAACTTCATCGGAAACTCCTCCGTCAGCATCCAGCTGGACGTGCGCTCCCCTGTCGGCTCCCAGTCTTCCCACCTCCCCGGCATGCCCGCTCCGCCCGCAGCCGAGGATGAAAACGTCTACATTGACATCCGTATCGCCAAACAAACAGTGCGTGGCATCTCAATCGAGTGGTTTGCTGCCTTGGATCACCCAGCTGAGACCTGGTTCACCATCCACATCGGCCGTGCGGACACTGATAAGAAAGAAATGGTCTACATCGGCCCGGGGATTCACTCTTACTCCGTCTCTGATCTGATGCCTGCAACCAAATATGAAATCTGTGTCACCCTCAAGAACCAGGTGCCACGATCTGGCCAGTGCATCGTGTTTGTAACAGGGAGTGACATCACAGAGATGGAGCAGAGGGAGAAGCTGATTCACATAGTGGTGATAGTTTTAGCCATGGTGCTGGCTGTGCCAATAGGTATGTACGCCTGCACCACTGACACTAGGTTCACCTGCCTGGAGGTCATCAGGGAGACCTGGAAGAACCGGCGGAGGGAGAGCGGCTCATCGGGGTTGGAGCGGGACAGACAGGGTACCTTCGACAGCCTGCAGGCGGCCAGCGACGAGGGCCTGGTCAATAAAGATTCCTCTGAAGACAGGAAGGTGAGAAGGAGGTCAGATGACAGGCTGCATAAAGGCAAAGCTGATCACAGCATGCTCACAGCTGAACTGTATTAAATAATAAAGGAAAGCATGAAACTGATCTTGTAATGAAGCAGAGACTCACTCTGTGACACTTTTTGGAACTCAGAATTCAAAAATACATTTGCTGTACTTATAGCTTCAATATTCAGTTGTGTGACACTATTTCCTGCCTTGGTTTTAATCTCATCTCTTCCTCTGTTCTAGGCTGCGGAGTTTGTTGCAAAGATGTGAATGATGACCGTTATGTCGAGAGTGTAATTCAACGATTTGCACCACTGTACAGAATGTGCTGCAGTTGGTTTCTTTATCAAATATGACGTTTGTCTTTTTTTTTATCATGATGTGTGTTAACAAGACAGGCTTCATACACAAGTAACTGCAGTATATGAAGCCATTTGATTCGTTTAAATGAAGGAATTTATCCATTTAACACTGAAAAGCACATATTAAAAAATATATTGTAAGTCTAATATGTAATATGTAAGTCTGTCTTAGCACTTTAATATTGTTTCATATGTGTATATATGTATTTATTTGTCAGACCGTTGTCATTGTGATGTAGCTTTTCAGCTCATTGTTATCTGCAGTGTACATATTTTTCATTTAAATGTAATTGTACTGATTGTGGTTAAAATGAAAATCTTAAAAATCAGACTGTTTGTGAAATAATTCAGTGTTAGTCTGTCAGTAGAAATGTATTTTAAAGAAGTTAAATAAGTAAAAAGAAATGCTGTGAATTTATGCTGTGAATTTAAATGTATGATATACCTTGTTGAAAATATGTTGTGATGTTATATTGCTCTTTAAAAGTGCAAGAATGTGTATCATGTATGTATTGGATTTGTGTAAATGCACAATGTGAAATTTTTCAATTACTGCTTTTCATTTCAAATGAAACTGTGCACGTGGGTGTGTGTTCTTTCATTATGCAGAATAATGTGGCGAGGAACAGCACCTTGATCTCTTGTCTGAGCAGCTGTACTTGGTTTTCAGGTAAAACTCTAAACTTTTCAATTCAATTAAAAAAAAAAAATCAAGTTAGTTGGCAAGTTAGTGACAAAGTAAAGACCAGGTTCACAGGTCTGTTTTAAATCAGCTCTCAGGTGTCCATATGAACAATAAAACAGGTTTCAGGCGTTGGAAACATTTTCTAGTTCATAGCTGCCATCAAGAGATATCGTTCTAATGCTCTGCGAACAAATGTGAGAAACAACATCTGAACTGCTTGTTCTTTGCTCAAATATTTTTTCAAACATTAGAAAGATTGTCACAGATAATGACGAAGGATTACTTCAAGGCCTGTGCGCTAATCCGGCCTTTGTGCGGTAAGTATTTCCTTCCTCATTGTTGCATTTTTAATGCTTGGAGTTCCTGGTTTCCCCTTTTTTTTTGTGTGAATCTCATTATCCCCCTGTTTTCACATCTTTACATCTTTTTAATTTAAAGTTGCAGATAGAGCAACCAGTCATCCCCCTTTTAAATCAACACAAAGTAATGCTGTATTGTTTAGTGCATTACAAAACCTCTTATCACAATGGATCTTTTTTTATGGCAATTAAGACCAAGAGTGAGGATTACAACATAACATTAACATGATAATCAAAACAAAGACAGGACAACAACAGAACAGACATCAACAATCAGGCCAAACAGAGAGTGCAAAATAATATAAATGCAAATCACAGGAAATAAGAAAGATACAACAGGCAGGATTCAAAAGGAAGTTAAAGCAATGGGACGCCAGATGTGCGGAGGCTCTGGTCCTCCAGGCAGGTGGCCCTGGCTCAAATCCGACCTGTGGCTCCTTTCCGCATGTCATTCCCCATTCTCTCTGTTCCCGATTTCAGACTCTATCCACTGTCCTGTCTCTCAAATAAAGAAGCTACAAAGCAATAAAACTAAGGACAATTAAAGATAAACGAGATGATGACTAAAACACAAAAATAAAGAAGAGGGAGATGACTATTCTTGGAAGGATAATAATACTCAGCTTAAAAGCAGCTGCATATAGTGCTGCATTTGTGAGACAAATGTTGAAAATAGTGTCCCTCTGGTGCTCATCAGTGTAAGGATACAAGTTTGAAATGATTGAAAAGGTCTGAGACACTCAGAGGGGTAGTTATTAAAAACCTAAATACTGACATCCTTAAATTCACTCATATTCTATGGTTAATGGTAAAATGGACTTGAGCAAAGCGCTTTTACACCACAGGTCACACCTACCCATTTTAACCCCCTTAACATACTGATGACAGAGGCTGCTATGTAAAGTGTCCGTCATTACTAACTAATCCATTCAAACACATTCACACAGCGCTGGCAAAGCCGCGGGAGCAACTTGGGGTTAATTGGCTTGCCCAAAGATACATGACGCTGATGAAGCCAACAAGCCGAAACACGTCGGTCTAATTTGTTAATAAAGTTGATCTTTGTATTACAGCTGGAGCCTTTTGACCTCCCGAAGACACATCGAACATGTGGCTGCTAGAGCTTGGGATTGAACCCCCAACCTTTTGGTTGAGAGACGACAAACAAAGACAACCGCATCAAATCACACTGAATACTTTGTAATATAGCAATAAGTAAGGTCTTTTTACCTGCTTTTTGTAAAGTGTCTTGAGATAACACTTGTTATGAGTTGACGCTATACAAATAAAAATGGATTGATTGAATGTATCCATAGGTTACTTAGGGTACATACTATTCATTAAAGAAACTTAAGAGGATTGAAAACTGTCAGCACTGGTGAGACTCCCTTTTTGGGACAAATAACTGAGAAGAAAATGACCACAGTCATTTGATGAAGTGGTGTCTCCAAACGTAAACTGTGAAGTGTCATGTACATTAGTTTAATCCACCCTGCGTCCCTGTACATGCACGTCACAGCTCCCTGTTTACCACTTCCGTGAACACAACCCGGGGGAAGCCATGCGTCACACATGATCTGTGCCGACCAGCCCAGACAGATGGCACAACGGATATCCTTCAGCCAATGGCATTGTTCATTTGACATAATACCCAAACACTGGCATCCTCTCCAGTATCCCCCCACCCCTCCTGGCGTCACTTAATGATCACATCACACGAGCCCCCTCCTCCATTCATCCATCTTCTGTGATGCAAGGAGATCAGTCCATCTCTGCTGGGGCCCCGCTTCACTTGACCTGAGATCAGGGTTTTAAACGGCTGCCTGAGATTGGCAGCTCTCATTTTTTCCAGCGCAGACACATCAGCTTTCTCGCTTGTTCAGATGTGTTTATATGATTTGCAGGCGGGGGATTGATGCTGTCTCATCAATGTGTTTTTCACCAGACATGGCAAATTCTACAAGCTCAATATCAGCTGAAAAAACCCATGAATTACATCTTTATTTGAGCTTATCTGATTTGATTCCGTCTTACATTGTGTTTTATTAAACACTACGCTATGCAACAATTGCTGATCCCTTAGGCTGCACATTTTGAAGATTAGGAGTAAACCATGTATCTATCATGATTTATTTTCACAGTTTTAATTAAAAAAGCAAACATTTCATTAACCACTTACACTCCTGTTCCTTCAAACACATATCTGTGTTTTTTTAAAGCTTGTGCATAGCTTTCTTTCATTCTAAAGCATCATTGCTCTTTGCAACTTTTAACTCTGTAATCCTCTATCAAATAGCCCAGTAATCCCGGCTGCCTCTTACATGGCATAATGCATGATCATTTGGGCTTCTCCTCATATTCCCTCATTTCATTTCAGAGCATTAACAGCTTGCAGCACAGAAAACTTTTTTTATTTTTAATGTGTGTGACAATTTTTGACCTACATTTCATGTTTGGTTCCTCAAGAATCTCTGCGACTTGCGCTGGCCTGAAACATCATGTATATGTATAATCTGGCTGAGTGTAGGAGGCTGTTTTTACTTTGTCAAATGCATAAAAAAAAAATAATAATCCCCCCATAGTCCGCCGTGCGTCATCAGCATAACCTTGTCAAATGTGCCAGCGGAGGCTGCAGAAAGTTCGATGCCAGTCACACACATCTTATCAGTCCAAACTAGATCAGGACAGATGGACTTTTGGTTTTTAGCCAAGGATGCAATATTGTACAAAGATGAACAAGTTGGTCCTTGGATTAGAGAGAGTGTAATCTGCAAATTTCATGTTTTATGTAACTTTGGAATCGTGTGCATGTTTAGTGGTGATGTCTACACAAATACCCAGGGAGAGATTCAGTGTAACTTCATAATTGGGAGCGTTCACATTGAAAGTGGGGCTGAGAAGAGCAAAAGGGCTTGGATCAGGATGATATATTTGCTGAACATCTGCTTTTACCAAAAGTAACAGCAAATGCAGTATTTGTATGCAAGGCTGTCTTCATCTAAAACGTTTAAACTCTGATTGTATGCAGAATCTTGCTTTTCTACATGACGTCTCTTCCATGTTTGGACTGCTTTGTTCAATTTTTTTTTTTTTACAATAGCTTAACACATCATGCACAAAACAAAAGCTTTAGAAACAATATTATTCAACCAAATCTCCCTTAAGGCCATAAAAGCTTCAGTTTGAGTTATTATCATTTGTTTGAGGATTTGGGAACACTGACCTTAAATCTCTTCCTCTTCCAGTGAAACAGCTTCTCCTCTGCAGCCAATAGGGGGCAGTATGTTCTGTTTGCAGGCTCATTAAGAAGGTGTTTGTAAAGCTAGTGGGAAGAAAGCTGTGGCTCTGTGCGTTTCAGAGAGCCTTCAAGGCTACAATCTAATCCTGGACAGTTGTAGCTGGTCATGACCAGATGAACCAAAGTATCCCGCTGGCTGTCTGAATATCTGCAGAAAGTGAGATCAAATGTGCAAAACGTTGTTATAGGTACTTAAAATAGTTGTTAAGCTACATATGCTCATTCATCTTTTCCGGTATTCATCAGCTGTTTTCTTCAGCTGGTCACATTTATCCAACAGCACCACTCCCCTCCCTCATTGTTAGTCCTATCATACTGTGGCTGTCCTTTTTTAATGTGGCTTTCTCTTCCCTCAGTTCATCTGTATTCTTACATTCAAATCTCCACCTCTCCATCACTGCCCAGTCTTTGCAGTTTCATCAGCTCCACTGTCTCATTAGCTCTAGATGACATCATCGCCCAACACCTCACCATTACCGCCCAATCTTTGCAGTTTCGTCATCTCATCAGCATAAGGCGACACCATTGGCCAACACCTCCATCACCAGCGTTTGGACTCCACAGGAGGGGGGATAGATTGGGCTGTTGTCTCGTTTTAGAGTTCAAACGCAGGGAAAACAGATGGAAATTAACTAGTTAGCTAAATCTGGTACAAAGCATCTCTTCTCTTCTGAGACTAATGTTGTTTTTTGCACACTGTCCCTGATTCAAATAAACTAATAAACTAAACGCCAATGACTTTCCGACAAAAAAATGTAATTTCTATAAAATAGAGAATTACCTTTCATTCATTCATGAAGTAATTTACTTGTCTCTCCTGATTGAACTGTCTTTCAGTGTATAACATTGGTTCAGCTTTACCTCTGACTACAACTTTGAAATATGGCATACAATATAATATATAATAATAACATAATGATATAACACTAACAGGGTTCACTTTACATGCTGAACTCTGTATTCTTCAGCTGAGTGTAAAGCTGAATGTAAATGCATGGCTCATGATAAAGCACTCCTAGTTCTAATTTAAATGTTTGAAATTACAAATAAAGTTATTTTATTGGTAGTCAAATCCTGACAGGTGTTTTTGACAACAACAGTTCTCTTAAACAAAAAAAAAGACACCAAGACATAAACAGTTGTAAACAAACAATAATTTAAATCACAGTCCTTTGAATCACAAAATAAACGTAGTAGGGTGTCACATGAAAAGTCAGGGACCTGCACAGTGTTGTTCACCTGCAGCAGTAGGATTAGAGGTTTTTCCTAACGTGATCACTTCGGTTCCCTTCCCTCGCGCTGATCTCTTTAGTCAGTTCAAGTGTCATGAAATCTCTTGTAAGGAGCTTGGTTGGGTCCCAAAAAAACAGTGTTACATTGAATGACAAGTGAGCGGAGGTGAGGAAATTTAAGCCACTAGTGTGTCAACAAAAAGTTCAAAGGGTGGGACCTACCTGTTACAGAATGATTTACCAACCAAAGACGTGATTCAGAAACAAAGGGAAAAGGAGTGAAAATTCAAAACAGAATCTGAATAATGATGCACATGACGAGCATTTGACTTTGTTTTTTTAGCACACTTACAGAAGCAGTTTCAGTGTATTTACTCCTTCTGCACACACACACACACACACACACACACACACACACACACACACACACACACACACACACACACACACTCAGACACACACTCAGACACGCACAGAGAGCATTGATTCTTAACTTTGGAAAAAATCAGTGGACAAAACAAACCAACCACAAGTTCTATTTAGCAGCTATTGTGGAGCTTTTGAACACATGAGCGTCATCATTTTTGACCGTGAGGTGTGCAGATGTTGGAATTCCATTTCAAAGTTGTAAGGGCAAAATATACTGTAGGAGAAGTCACATATTTTAAATTGTAAATTTGTACGAAAGCTAGCAGACTGGACCTGGTAGAAAAGTTGAAAACTCCAGGACCAAAATGCTCCTACTTGGACCTTGAGGTGAGCTTGTTTTGCTGATAGTTACTGATGGTGCAGCAGCCTTTTCTGCTCCAGTCTCATCTTGAGCTCTGAAACCAGCGCATTGTTCACAGTGTCCCGCCTGGTTGTCACAGGCCTTTTTTTCGGTTTTGCTGCCACTGCTGCCGAGACAGTGGGCACCACCCACTGCCTCTCGCCCGGGAAGCAGGGTGGTGGAGGAGGGGGCAGGGATGGGGCGCAGGGCGGTGGAGGCGGGGACCAGTGTCTCACAAGATTGCCGACATTGTTGTTGTAGTTGACGTTCTCCACGATGACCTCCGGCTCCAGCTCCACCTCCTCTACTCTGAATTTCTGTCCTGGGTTTTCTGGTTTCTTGAAGGGGTTTTTTATGTTCCAGATGGGCTGGTTCCTCTGCCTCCTCCTCACGCGGCGGTTCGGAAGAATCCGGTTTGACTTTTTGTTGCGCATGAATGTTGCCGTGGAGATGATGACTGTGACTATGACCATAAGACAAATGACACCAGCAAGCAAGGCTACGATTTGCAAGGGCTTGTTTCTACTCTGCATCAAAAATGATCCCAAAGGCCCCCCACTGAGTTGGGTCTGTAAAAGAGCACAGGGAGAATATAAATCCATGGGTGTGAATTCAAAGCCTTTAACACAAAGAGGAATAATTAAGTATCGTCTGTGTGTGTAGAAATGCATGTTTTTGATCTTTTGGCTAGAAATATCACTTGTGGTGCAAAATACTGTGGTGTAAAATCCACTGCAAATGAACCACCGTAAACTGTTTGTATGTAAACACTGGGTGTCTCACAAATTGAACAGATTGATTATGAAGTGTTTGACTGAATTCATTGTGCTTTTGTGTTTTATTTGTCAAGACAAGATCAGAGAGGATGGTTAGTAAGACCATAGCTGAGATCATCCAGCTTCTGAGAATGAAGACATTATTTGAATGTGAAGATAAAACAAATCGGCTTGTTTTCTTTTTGCATTTAGTTCTCGCATCAAAATATGAGAACTAAATGCAGAACATTCAGGTAAAAAAGAAACAAGGTAACTATGTTTATATCGTGCTCCTGTACTCTTTTACAGACACAGCTTTATTCTACCACAAACTACTCTAGGGTAAAATTAATTGCTACCAATTCTTGCCTACCACAGTGTTTGGTTTAGTTTAATTTAGATGATCTCAAGGCAAGTTCCATTTATGGCGCTGGCCTCCTAATAATCTTTCTGATCTTGCCCTGAGCATGGATGCGGGACTTTTTCACAGAGGACCAGTATAACAGAGTGGAAATGAAGATTGTGAGCGAAACGGCGAAGATGACAACAGTCAAACAAATCCCAAACACAGACTCTGGATGTCTCCTGAGGTCCAAGAAGTACGAGACAAATCTGGATTTGATCTGAAAACATGACAGTTGCATTCGTGTGAGATTCAGATTTCTATGACGACGGCTTTAAATGCTACATAATCACTGATACGACCCATGCTGCACAAAAAACTAGACTTCTGCAACAGAAAGCGTTAAAAAAATCACGATAAGAGAATCGTTAAGATCATTAAGCATTTGCAATTAATAATTGATTCAACCAAAAATGCATTTTAACTAGATTTTACCTGGGCAAATTTACACTCGACTTTGTTAGGTTATGAAGCAGATTTGCTGTAATATTACAGGTACATCTAGTGAGACTACCAAGCAGCATGAAATATGAAATCACATTAACTTTTGATGAACTGATGTTTGCAACGCTCACATTATTTTTCATGCACTTGTAGAATTCATCATTTCATATTTTAGATAGGTATAACCCAAACACGGATTCATTAAGCATTTGTTTATCGTCGTCTTTGTTCCAACTTACAGCTTCAGTGATGTCGATCTTGATGACGGCGGTGGTGCTGAAGGACGGCTGGCCTCGGTCCCGGGCCTGGACCACCAGAGACCAGGTGCAGTCGCTCTGCTTGGTGATGTTCTGAATGATTGCCATGGACTTAATGTAGGACTTGAGCATGATCTCCCCCGTGTCAGCGTTAATGTCAAAGATGTTGTTGTCTGGCTCCGCTTTCATGATGGCATACTCGATGACGTTGTTGGGTACCTCAGCATCATCGTCTACAGCCTGTGTGGGAGGTAGATGCATCGAGTTATAAAGTTCATCATCATGACGTTATTCTTGAGTCTCACTTTATTTGTTCCGAACCAAAGATGAATACCTCTATTTTCACTGGCGCTCCAATCACCATGGTGGTCTCGAGGAAGTTGTCATTGAAAGCAGGCGGGTGGTCGTTCAGGTCCAACACAGTCACAAAGACCTCAGCCAGGCTGTACTTCCCCTCGGCATCCTCCGCCTTCACATAGAAGTTATACTTGGACCTCACCTCTGCGTCCAGGCTCGCCCACGGCTGGGTGTAGATGATCCCAGTTGTTGGCTGAATCAGGAACCTGTGGTGAGATCATTTTCATCAAATCAAATGAGATAGACTTCATCCATTAAATACAATGGCATGTTTTTAAATATAACCCCCTATATTCAATTATGACTATTATGTGGAACAACTTTATTTTCTTCTTAGAGATTGTACTTTCTTTTTTGGAAGAGATTATTTAAAAGCTGTAATGGCACAGCATTGCAGTCCAAAACACATTTCTACAAGGGGACAACAAAGAGTATTGCATTGTGTCGTATCGTGTCGTATCGTATCGTGTTGTATCCTATTGTGTTGCGTCGTATCGTGTCGTATTGTATCATTTCATATCAGCCCTAACCAAAATCTGACTGGTCAATTTTAAAAGTGACAATATAATGTAAAAAGTCATCCCTTTTACAAGTAGTTAGAAAGTCCAATTAATCATTTAGGTTTAAAATTTTAAGACCTGGTTAACAAATTATCACAGTAACTTTTTAAACCTCAAAATGCACTTTACATTTTAAAGATTAACATTGAGCTACAGGCACTGATAAAACTCACAACCACGCTGTTTTACCTACATATACAGGAATGAAAAGTCTATCTGTCACAGAGAGTTATGTGTTGTCAAACAGCAGCTGGTTCAGGGTGTGGTCTTGAAAGAGAGGCTGTAAACAACATGAGCTGTAACACAGCACAGATGTAGCATAAAGGGCTCATGTTACATAGCCTAACACCTGAAACAACACCTTTTTATTTTTTAGGCCAGCCTTTGTACTTAAGAATGTTTTCTCTCTTTATGCTAAGCTAGGCTAATCACCTACTGTGTCTAGACCTTTATATAACCAAAGGGTTAACATTAGACGGTTGATGTTCTCATCTAACTTTAAAAAAGAGAACAAATGTGTTTCTTTTTCCAAAACGTTTAGCTCTTTATTAGAAGTATCCCCCTCATGTGTATCTGAATTCACACAGAGCAGGAGTGAGCTTGTTTAACTCCACTGGCTGAAATATGTTGTTACTCTACACTGACTTTGTCGCAGTGTAAGGTAGTCAGAAGCAAAGAGCAGTCTATTTTCTCCTCCAATCCCATTAGAGGATTAGAGGAAAGACAGAGGGCGAGCAGGAAAAGAGCAGGGCGGTTTTCCCCCTCCGGATAACTCTATAAGTTATAATGTTTTAAAAGGAGAGTAGAGTCAGAGTTATAAAATACTAAATGTTTTCAGAAGCAGAACCAAGAAGTTGTATTGATTTACACATTTTGGGTTCATAGACGCATTCTGGAGTAATCTGTGGTGAAACTGTTTCCAAATGGTTTTAACCAGTGTGCACTCCAAATCTCCCTCCTCTGCTTATTTTGGAAATCCTTCCCCAGCACGCCACGTGACATCTCATATCTCCTCTAATTCATCACCGCAGAGCTCAAAATCAAAAGAGCTCAAAAAGAGGTCCAAAAATATTATTATTTTAACATTATATCAATGTACAAAGTGAGAGGTTTATTGATTAGAGGCATGAAATGACTGTACTAACATCTACCTGTGTGTTCACAAAGGGGTCATGTTTACTTTACTTTACTGCTCTAAATGTTTCTGAAATCCAGGTTTTTGCTCCTTTGAAGCATGCAGATAGAAATGTGATAAAACATATTCATTCATAGCATTGAGTATCCTCGTTTTGACACGTCTTTAGGACTCTATATGCACCGATTGAAAGAAAGGTGAGCTGTGTGTTTTTACTGCTAGAGAGAGCACGGACGACTGAGCCTTTTTCTCAGAGGTTAGACTTCTGCTGAAAATGTAATAAAAAAATGGAGCTGAGAGAAAATACCAGCAAATCCTCCGAGGGACTACAGGGCTTAGGTGCAATAAACAGCACAGAGTTCAAATATGAAAAACAAGTCTGCTGTCATGTTCCTCTGCAGCTTTCAGGCAGATGTGCTCGTCTGGTTTTAATACACAGGAGTGCAATTAAAATGTCAAACGCAGGCTTCAGTATAATTTCTGTCAAGAAACTGTTTCCAGTTATTAATATGGGTGGACTTTTTAACGTATTATTACATTTTTTGGGAGGGGATTTTTGCTTTTATTGGATAGGATAGCTGAAGAGAGGCAGGAAATGTTGGGAGGAGATAGAGGGGGACGACATGCAGCAAAGGGCTAAGGTCGGATTCAAACCCACAGCTGCTTTGACAAGGATTATAGCCGCTGTACATGGGGCGCACAACATAACCGCTATGCTATCAGCGCTCCCTTGATGTTTTTTTCATTAATCTACTTCTTTAAAGATATGATTTCCATTTGCGATAGTCAAATTTTTTTCATTCTCATTATCTCCACAAATACAACTTCACACTGCCATGTTCACTACACAAAGAAAACCAAAGAATAGACATAAGGGAGCAACTTTTCATAATAGTATTTAGCTGCAATCTTTTGTGGAATTCTTTATCTTGTGCAGAATTAAACAAAATAATCACAGGAAGCTTGTGAGGAGGATTTATTCTAAAAATTAAGTTAATACCGTTTAGACATGAATGAGGTTTTGTCTGTAATTAAATGAGTGGAGGTGTATTTTGGTTCAAATGTTTTATGCTGATTTCTAAATATATAATACAACTTTAAGAAAAAAAGGGCGCAGAGAGTCCATTAAGTTCAATTCTTATACTCACAAGTCGGCCCCTGATCCGTATATTGAGTACTGCACGTCACCCCAGGGTCCTGAGTCTGGGTCTGTTGCCTGTAAATCAAGCGAAGAAGACAAAATGAACCAAAATAAATATGTTACAGGTTAAGTTAACACGTTCATATGTCAGGTTAAATCTACAAAAGTAGTGTAGGTGTAGTGTGGTGCTTCCAATTTACTGGCCAGTTACCAATATTTCAATTTGGTGTGCCTTCTTTTTTCCTCCCTCTCCTTTAAAATATTGAAGGTAAATTTGTGTTTTGTTTTTTTTACTATCCAGAAAACACAGAAAAGAGAAGTCTGTGCGTGCAAGGCCCCTGAAGTAAACCGTCTCAATCTGTGCCGTGTTGGAACATGATGTTGTCGAGGTCAGCTATAAAAAGACTGATTTTTGATGTCATCGCAACATCATCGCAGGCATCGGCTAATCTGTCTGTCTGTCGCTGCTGGGATGCCTGTTTGATGTTTCCATGTGTCCAAGGTCACTTGTAGGCTGTTCTTTTATCTGATTGAAATTGCCTAGGATCAAGGAAATGAGCGTCTGTGGCGCTCACGCAAGTGCAGGACTTATTAGCGAGCCTCCCTGTTGCTTTGAGCCCCTGCAGGGCTGACAAGAAAAAAACCATGACAACAGATGATCCATCTATCGTTTCATCTACGTCTATGCATCCCTCCATTTATTCATCTATCTATCTATGCATCCATCCATCCATCCATCCATCTGTGTTGATCTGATATCTGCACATATTTCTGTGCTGCAGCTGCATGTGCTACTAAGCATTAGGAGAAAAAAAAAAATCTGGGAATTTTGTGTTACACAACAAAATGAAAGTGATAGCCATCTGGCAGCTTACCTCGCCTAGCTTTTATCTACATCTTTAACCATATTATCCCAACCCCCACTGCCTAAAAAGACTACATTTAGGGAATTAATGGCCCTTTTGGACATTTTGTTAAACTCAGAGGAGTGACGTACGTCGGTGATGGCATGTATTTTTAGACGGGATGAGGGCTCGCTCACCGTGACTGATACCACATTGGAGCCGCCGGGTGAGTTTTCTGGAATTCTGGCGATGTAGTAATCTGAAGAGAATTTGGGAGCGTTGTCGTTGGTGTCCAGCAGATGAATCACAATGTCTGCTGTGGCGCTGAATCTCTCAGGAGTATCGATCTCCACTGCAAGTAGCTGAGGAGGAGAACGATTGAAAGACATTTGATGTTTAAATAAAATGCAAAACATATATGAACCGTTCTTCAGTGATATGTAATCCCACTTTCATCTACTTTAAAACACACTTAGTGTACTGAGTTAACCTTATATGTGAGAAAATGGTGTTTCTCGTAGTCCATGGCAGCAGAATCTTCAACTAAGATCGTGACTTGGGCCTCATTGAGCACCGTCTGAGGCACGACTCGCAGCATCCTTCCTGGACCGATAAGTCTCAGATTGAATTTCGCATTAGCACCCTGAAAGAGGAAAACATACATCACTAAATTATTCAGTATTCTCATTAGTGAAAAGGCCATGAAGTTATGATAAACATTGCAGGAATCTATTTATAGTCATCTGCATTTGTCATAAAGATATTTTCAAACAGCTGTAAAGAGTAATCCATGTAAAGTACAGTCCATTCAATCAATGTAAAAGCTTTGTATCTGTTCATTGTTACATTAATGTATGAGATATAGCGATAGGATATCAGTGGCTGCAGTGATATTCCAAGTAACACATAATGCCACTGGTCTAAAAGAGCATGCTCTGATGTTGTAACAGTATTACGAGTGAACACATTTGGTGAACAGCAGCCATTTGGACGAGGCGGAAACAAGAAGCTGCAGACACACACACACACACACACACACAGAGACTTGCATAAGCTGACAAATGGCATAGTTATGGAGAGCCTTTTAATTTGTGTTGGCTTTTGCAATTTGAAAAGGATTGTCTGTAATAATGGCCGGCTTAAAGTCATTTCAGAGACAGGAAGGCAGACAGCCTCAACATTCAATGTTGAATGAATCATTTTTTCTGTTAGAATGTAATTTGGGCAGATTACGAGTGTTAGTCCACAAAAACAATCACAGTCCCACTCTTCTGGGTCACAGCCTTTAACTTTGAAAGCAAATAAAGTGTTTATATGCTGGAAAATAATTTGAAACATTACTGAAAAATATTAACTTTTTTTTTCTGTAATAGTAAAAATGAAAGACAATAACTTTGTCCCCACCTTATCGGAGTCGTTGACGGTGATTCTTAGCCCGCGCAGGATCTCTCCCTCTGGAGGATGTTCATACATGGTCAGTTCAAAAATATTCTGTGGGCCCTTTTCTCCGTAGAAAGTGGGTGGGTTATTGTTCAGGTCCACCACGCGGATCACCAACGTGGTCAACTCATAGTCCATGAGTCTACCTTCAGGACTCACCTCTGATGCCTGCACACAGTGAGGGAAAAGTTATGAATGTAAAACTCCCAGTTTATGAATTTATTACTTATATAGTCAGTAGGTGTACATACGAGGTGTTTATCTACCAGTCGAACCAGAGCTGGTTGTACTTCTACTTGTAAGATAAGATAAGATAATCATCTTCTTTAAAATAATACAAACAGAAAACAAGGCCTCAACTGCTTGAAATGGGTACATTAAGTTTCATGAAATAAGACATTAAATCTTATTGAAGACATTTCCTCTCTTTTCAAGCAGCCAGTTTTACTTGTTACAAGGAATTTATGTCTTATTTTCTGCATGTGATATCTTGAAGTAAAAGTTGTATCTCGACCTTTCAGCTTGATGTGACTTATATTGCATGAGATTGTAATGAGATATTTTTCACCAGGAAGTAAACAAATACATTTGTTAAGATTTGAGTTTTTGCAGTGCGTGTCTGCCTATAGATTCATAATAATTTACTCGTTTAATTTGGCCCTGGCTGTTTGAGGCAAGGTTTTGATACAGAAACCTGTATGCATGGCATCTACTTTACGATTTAAATATGAAGCAATGTTCATTGCACATGTCCCTGTTAGATATACAAATCTAGGCAAAACACAGGCAACAAGAAAGTGTTTTGTTTTCATTGATTGAACTCACCTTGACTTTAATGTTAAAGATTTCTCTCTTCAGATTTATGGGGTGAGACAACAGGGTGATTAAACCGCTCGTTTTATTGATGCCAAAAACACCGTCATCACCTGGTGGGACAAGAAACAGAGAGACCTGTGAGCACTTTAATCAATCCATCACTCTTTATTTGTACAGCGCCAATTCATAACAAATGTTATCTCGAGACACTTTACAAAAAGAGCAGGTAAAAGACCTTATTCATGCTATATTATAAAGACCCAACGTGAATCCATCATGAGTGAAGCACTTAGCAACATTTAGCAAAAGTTAGAATGGCAAGAAGAAACGTCCTTTAAGAGGTAGAAATCTTCTGGCAGAACCAGACTCATGATGAACCGCCATCTGCCAAAACTGCACCGGGCTTGAAAATTTGATAGAGGGAGATGGGATAAGATGCATGAAGAAGGATAGGGGACAAACGGGGAGAGTGAACATCTAGGCACCAACGATCCAGAGGAACCTACTTCTGCTTTCTGTCACAATCATTTTATGTCTTTGACTGAACTGAGCTGCTTACCCTCTTCAAAGGAATATCTGATTGGGTTTGGGTTTCCAACATCTCCATCTTTTGCTTCTACGATGAATATCACAGATCCCTGGGTAAAAGATTATAAAAGAAAAAAAATACATTTACATTTTTTTAGTGTAGTTTTTTTTGATTTTCTGCTAAACAGCTGGCTATGGAGTGAAGTAATATTCTGTATGCACTACCAGTCAAAAGTTTGAACACATAACAGTAACAGTATTATCAGTAAAACAGTATACTCTATTATTATAACATAGCTACTGTAAGCTGTATCTAGGGCTCACCTACTTATAGAAGGGCTTTTCTTTATTTTGACTATTTTCAACATTTTAGAATAAGAGTAGATATAAAAACATACAAAATAAAACATTTAATTTCACTTAAAATGCATACATACATACATAGGCATCAACTTCACTATTTATATTTATATAAGAAACTCATGTCAAACATTTAAGCATAAGCCTTTAGATCAAAATGTATTTCAGATAATAAGATGCATTTCAATCATGTGTCCAAACTTTTGAGTGGTAGTGTAAGTATTTATAGTTCTCAAGTTACTGAAGGTCTTTTTTCTAACAATAAACAGTTCTTTTGATGCGGGCATAAAGAAAGACTTTCCAAAAAAACCTTAAAACAAAAAATAAACATATCAAAAACACAACTCAATTTCAATGTAGCCATTGCAGCGAGGAAACAGCTCGTCAAACCATCGAATTAAAGTCTTCAAATGGAAAAATTAAATGTCATTTTTCTCATTAGTATTTCAAGATAAAAGTCTTCAAAGTCTTCCTTCTTCAGTGACCTGCTACAGTCGTGACATTTCATGTGACTGAAGAGATAACGTGACTTTCATGTGCTGTTTGAGACGCGATGATAAAGTCAACATTACTGTTAAATGTCAGCAATTAAAGTGGAGCGATATGAGATAAAGCTGCTTTGGATTTCAAGCTCATTTGTTTGTTCTTATTAAAAAAGGTTAGAAAAATGAACTGATTTCACAAATAGTGACTGTGCTTTTGATAAATGGTGTGATAACGTGACAGATGTTCCTTTCAGTCCAACGACTCTTCCAAATGTAAACTGAAGCAGCAGAACATAGTTTGTGTTTAGCATCTATAGGCTCCGCCATCACCACTCCTCGCAGATTAGACATTTGAGGAGTGATGAGATATTTACTTAAACCCCCTAATCGGAGCCTTCAGGTGGATGCTGGGGGGGGGAGGGGATGAAAGCATGAGCACAATGAGCTGGCGATGACGGAGCGGAAGAGAGCGGAAATCTTGCAGCTTAAAAAACGTCCGCCAGTTGGAAGGATGTGTTGTCAGGTGATTGTGGATGATGACGCATGACAAAGTGTGAAAACAGTGCAGCTCGAGTTCTCTGCCTGAAGCAATGGCCTCATTGTAGATGGCATTGTCATTCGATTGTGATACAAAATAAACCTTTGTCATAATTCTAAGAACGTCACAACATGTGAATGGCACCGAGAATGTATGAACAGTTAGAAAAAACGTGCAGGTGTTTCACATAAAGCGCACTGTCAAAGCAGGATGTCACTGCAGAATCTTTTCATACTCACTGGAATAGAGACTTCATAAACGTAGCCAAAATACGGCGTCCCGATAAAAGATGGCGGCGTGTCCTGAACGTCAATGACATTGATCGTCAGGGTAGCAGAAGATGACATAAACTGCTCCTTGCCATCAAAGTTACCTCCACCATCCTGGAACAAAAGTAAAAGAGAGTTTTGATGTACACAACCCAAACTGGGGTATTTCAATTTGATATCATATTTCTATGTTTATGTTGTGGAACATTAAACATTTGTTTTACATATATACGTGTAATTTCAAGCAAACTTTAAATGTTAACGTACATGACAAGAACATTCTGAGTGTCTCACTTGAAGCTGTAGCTCATTGTTTAAAGGAAGACTCTCTTTTGATTTGATCATCTTAAAGGTTTTAATCAAGTTCATGTTAATGTTCAATGTTTGTTACACATGTTCATTTTCCTGAAGAAGGACCAAACATGTCAAATATATTTCCTTCCTCATTTTTGCCAAACAGATAGTTAAAGTCTTCTTGAAACATGCATTGTTTTTTATTCACATGCATAAACCGTGCTCCTGTTTGCTATATGTGCAAGTGCTGCTAATGATCCAAAAGGTCGACAAAGGTTACTTTAAATTGAGGAGGATTTGACACTTTTGCAGAACCAAAAATGGTTTCTGAGTTTGGATAAACCCATTACCTTTGCAATGACAGTAACAAAGTGTGTCTTTGTTTTTTCAAAGTCCAACATTTCCCCTGATTTCAAACGGAGGACACCACTGTTTCTGTCCATGGAAAACAAAATGGACTGAGGATTCTGCAACAGAGAGCGAGACATAATCAGGGTTTAAAAAAGACACACATAAAAAGGTCACACTAAAGACTCTGTCGCTGAACCTCATTTACAAACATCACGTGAGATGTCATGAAAAAAGCTCAGATGTCTCCATTAAAAACATATAGTATTGAATGCCACATTTTGAACCATGGCTCTGACTCTGTCCATCTGGATGTAAAGAGCCCTTGTGCTAAAGGTCAGGCCAGGCAGGTGTAAGCTGCAGCATCCAGATGTGCGCAAATCACCCGTCACTGTCACTCCATGCCAGCTGTTCTCTGGTCCTAATAGTCCAAAGTGCAAACTAACATTGCCTGCCAGCCCCTTCCAAAGCAGCCCACTAAGCCACCAGTGTAGCCTGACACAAATGTAATTGTGATTTAATCCTCATAACTAACCAGTATAACCAGGCACATGCATAAATACACACGTGAGCATTAGAAAAACTCACTGATATTAATGAATTGATGTAAATGACACAGAATAACATTACCACCCAACAGTTTAAGCTGGTGTTTCAAATGAGGAGCATTTATCTGTTTGCATACTGTATTGATTCATTGCAGAAATGTTACCTGAAGGTAGTAGGTGACTGAGCCGCCTGAGCCTGTGTCTCGGTCCACTGCCTCGACTCTGTAGATACTGCTGCCAGATTCTGTTGTCTAAAGTGTGCGAAAGCAAAAACGACATGGGGTCTCACAGAAATGCTTCAAAAAAACTTTGAACCAAATATATTATGTCCATATTTTTCCATAAAGCTTTTACTTTGGCATAACTTACTTCCAGTACATTAATGATGGCTGGCATGTTTTGGAACTCAGGTTTTTCATCATTTGCATCCATTACAAATATTGTGACTCTTTCCACAACCTGAAAGAAGAAAATGAAGAAAGAGATGAATAAGCTTTTAGCTTTGTTCCTTTAAAAATATGACATCAAATGTCATAAATACACATTGAGAGTTGATACCTGGCTTCTTCCATCGCTGATGCTGACATGGACATCAATAGAATCATGTTTCTAAGCAAAGATGGAAAACAAGTTCAAAAAAAAAAAAAAGTCTTTGATTTTCTACACTAATCTTTCTAAGATGTGTTCAGTTTACCTCTCGGTCTAGCTGTTCCACCAATGTGATGTTTCCTGACACTGGGTCGACACTGAAGTACTCTTTGGCTCCAGGATCAAAGGAAAGGCCGTAGCTCACCTTCTGGCCTTCAGGGTCTGTGCCGTTGAGTGAATAGATCTGTGTGCCTAAAAGCAGATGCTGTAATTGAATCCATTGAGCCGCACATGTGACTTCAATAAATGCTTTCGGAAGATGTTTTGAAGCATGTGTATGAATGATTTTCCTTGGAACCCCCCATACTTGTATTAAAAACAATCTGAGCCCCAGAAGGACCCAAACAAAGCAAAAAGGGATATATTGCTTTCAAAAACTAACATCAATTTTAATAGTTTTCAGAATATGCCTACAGAGTTGTTCTTAGCAAAAGACCTTCATAGAAATTTCCCAGTAATGCTTAAAGTTGATTTTATTTAATATGTGCAAGAGATCTCTCCTGAGGGTTCAGGTTAAACATTTGCAAAGTATTTAGTATGAAAATGAAATATAATAAATACATAATATATATGTGTGTTTATTTTCCACAGTTTAACTCTGAAGAAGTAGACTTCATTAGGGTCAAACTTGCCTAAACTGTTGATTGGTCCTTTTTAAAAAAAACTACAAAATGTACATTAAATTTGGATTTTTATTTCTTTCCAAAAATGAAAAGCGAAGAATATCTAACCCATTATTTTAGGAAAAGCTTCTGTTGAAAAACAAGGCTAACACATTAGGTAGCAGTATAATAGGTTCCCAGACCGACTGAAGCTGTATTAGGCCAGCTTCACCTCATTCAGAGCCAGAAAACCGTCTTCACATTCAACAGGTGACTCCAGCAGATGAGCATGTTAGTGTGACGTATGTACTGTACATGCCACACAACATCTGTTCATCTATCACAGACTATTCATCACCCTGAACCCTTTAGATACTGGCAACCGGAACATGACATTTTGTTGATCAGTTGCAACAGCTGCCTATTAGCTGTTCACACTAAATGTCAGAGGATGACCTCACCGACTGCCGTGTCCTCCGAGAGGCTGAACAGAGCCAGGTTTCCATTTTGGCTGTAAGGTCCGTTGTCGTAGAAGTAGGGGGCAAAGTCTGCTTGTGCTGAGGAGAGAGTTATCAGACTGTTATTGAACGCTTGAATGTTGACTTAAAGACTTAAAGTTGAATTTCAGAAGTTGGAAAAAAAAGCTTCAATCAGTTGACCTCTGCAACAGTCTTAATCAATCTGGTTTGAGCACTAGCTGTATGCTAATTGCTAGATAAACTAAGCTAAGTCAATTTGGTTCCTTTGGCACACTTATGTGTGATTGTCACTGGTGTCAAAACTGGTCACTACTATTCAAATTTAAACAGCCAATGTCTGTGTAGCTTCTTAGTCATCCAGGTCATGGTACATTTGTACTAGACTAGACTTCAACCAAGTCCAGTTGCCTTTGGATCAAGCGTCGCATTAAACAGCAAATCAAAAGCTAAGAGAGCAATATTTTAATTCTAAATCTTTACATATTTCCTGTAAAAACAGGAAACTGGTGAGGGACTTGTGAATATTTATTGGCCTTTATTTTGGCCAGCAATGCTAAATGCAAAAACTTTCAAACACAAACACAGTAGGCCTAACGTCCATTATCTGCCAGCTAGCTCGTAGCTCCTGTGAATTAAAGGAAGCGTTTTAACTGCACAAAAAAACGTAGTATACTGTACGCCCTCAAGTGTAGGATGAGTTAACAACATTCTTGTATGTTTTCCAGGAAACGACTAACTCTAAATTAGCATCGACAATAACTACAAAACAGCTCTCTTGTGCGAATATATTGGCATATAAATGAAAAAAAGAGCTCAAGTGTGATTAAAGATTAAACATGTTTAACTTCCATGGGAGCCTTAAACTGCCTCGCTTTAATACCAGAGTGACATGAATCAGATGACAATACAGTGCTCACGCCCCTCTGCTTTCTCTTCAGCTTTAATTAGGATTACAGGTGAGTTACGTCAACCTAAGAAAATCTTTCTATTCATAGACCCCAGATCTCTGCAGGTAGAAATAACAGCCTACTATTCTTAATTTCAAAATAACTCTGAGCTAGATTCTGTTTTTAGCTGTTACTATTTCACCATAACCATTATAATCAAATGTTTAAACCAGACACATCTATTAGTATTAAAGTCATAGAGAGAACAAACTCATTAGAACTTCAAGAACAACTAACCAGATATGACAAGAACACGAGTTAATCAGAAAAGAAAGCATTTAATTACAAAATGAGACAATCTTCAACTGAGAGTCTGGTACATCTGAGCAGCATTCCCAAACTGATCAGAGCAAAGAATCAACTATAAGTAGAGAATACAGACGTTTCACTTACCAAAGCCGGCATGGACAAACACAAACAGCAGTAGCAAATGTAAAATCTTTACATTCTTCATCCTAAAGAATGAAGTCATGAAAGCGCACCATGAAGACGGCTCCGTCGAGACACCTGCACATGAGACGAAAGGTGTTTGTGTGCGACTGGAGGAGGCTAAAAAGGCAGATGCTCACATGCTAATCCAATGACACAATCTTAAGAGTCACTGCTGGGCCTCCTCAGTCCAACAGGACTGCTACCGCCAAGGACAAGGGGAATAACTGCAGTGCTGCACGTGATGGAAAGGTATATCTTTCATATTTTACAATGTTGGTGCTGCTCAGTACTTTTCATAACCTTGTAAATCAACACAACACAATTATCTGGTGGGGTCTAACTACATCTTTTCATCGGAGGTTGTGCTTGAGACAGACACTGTCTAATACAAATATTGTTTTAGTTCAAACATATTGAAAACCTTTCGACCAGTATGACAGCTTTTTTGATCAACTTTTTTGAATGATCCCAATCACACTAATATGACACTTTATTATACTTTGCTTAAAACTTGGACTGGACTATTCTTACAGCACCAGAATCTATACTCAATTTTAGCTAACACAAAGAGCCTTTACTCCTTTATACATGTAATATCTGTTACCTCTAGGATCTGACCTTTGATTTGAACATTTTTACAAAGAGTGTAGTGACCCACTCTGCTGTGGAAGAAGTGGATGGATTAAAACGATGCTGAATCTCAATGCTCATGTACTGCTTATATTTCTGCAGTGCCATCTGCTATGCACTCCACAACCATCTGTTGCATTAGGGAACGGAAAAAATATATATCCACTATTTACTCAATTAATAGGATAATCATAAAACATAGGATGATGTAGATGGAAGCAGCGAATGATCTGATGAGCTTATAATTCCTGTTTGGATGTCAGCGTGGAGAATCGTGAAGCTGATTTGTTCTTCTGGTATAAGATAAGAAATCTTGGTTTGCCCTACTTTTCATTACAATATTTTACATGCAATAGGATTTTATTTATTTTCTTTGTTTCGCCTTTTTGCCTTTATTGGATAGGACAGCTGAGGAGAGACAGGAAATGTTGCGGGTAGAGAGTGGGCGATGACATGCAGCAAAGGGCCTAGGTCAGATTTGAACCAATGGCTGCTCTGCCTCTATTGCATCTGTACATGGGGCGCACGTCATAACCGCAAGGCTATCGGCGACCCATTTCTTGTTTTGAACCACATTTTGAGTAACCAAACTGGTTTATCGTATAATCTGATTGATAATCTCACTGGAACTCTTCTAGACAAATGTTAAATTGTATTATCTTGACGGTCCTAAATATAAATAGTAAATAAACAAACACAAACCAATGGAAAAATACTTCTACTGTATGTGGTCACATTTACAGGATAGTTGGATTCCAAAAATCTTGTACATTAATTCAGACAAAAAGTGTCCAAATTCCACAACAATAACCCCGTTATATATATTTTTACCAACTTAAAAAATATATTTATTGACTATGATCTGATACTACATAAATATTTCAACTGATTTTTTTGCTGCTCACACTCTCTGGGACTCACTCCCAAAAACCATCAGAGACCCCCCCTCACTCTCCACCTTCGAGAATCCCTAAAAACTCCCCTCTTCTACATCGCCTTCAACCACTCACAAACACTGTTCTCATCCTCCTTCTCTCACACTATTACTTCTTTATATATGTATTATTATTTTTATTAAAATATCTCTGATCTGCACTTTGGGGATACAGAGAAAGCTTAGAAATGTTCTATTAGATTTGTGGGCCCATAAGGACCATAAATCAACACAGACTTTAACATAAGCATCAGTACAGGCTGAATACTTTGGCATCCCTATAGAACAATGAAAAAGTCAAGTATACAAACAAACAATTGTATAATGCCCATACACAGCATTAAAGCATGTTGCATGCAAGAGGATTTACACACATGAATAAACCTTTTACAGTCCATTGTCATACAGAAATGAAATCTACTTTATAATCTGAGTGGTACAAGTAGAGTATAAACTACTTCAAACAGTATGGCATTGCTTCGTCTGGATGCATGCCTGCAGAATAAAACACACAGAATAAAAACCACCATCTTTCATTTTTAGGAACATCAACATTATGATTTAAGATCATCGACCTCTGGCAGCAGAGAAATTCCCATCATGCTCAGTGAGGCCTTTCAGACTGGAAACTTATTATGTTGAGAATACAAGTATTCAAAGCTACATCAATGGTTTTATGTCCTTTGAAGCTGAATAAAAATAACTTTCACCTGATACTCAAACATCATATTCACTAGAAAAGATCACCTGTAAGGTGACTTGTGTATGTTGATGTTGGAGGCTTCAGCTTCAGTTTTAATTCTCATAGTCCCGGCAGATGGCAGGCCTAAAGATTAACCCACTGTGCTCTAATCTCTCCTCATCTTGTAATGCACAGAGCCTGTCTGTGGTCACACAGCCTCCATCAGACATGAACATAAAGCACAATTAGCACACATTATGTTGCAGAAACAGGCACATGTTGCATTTAGTTTGCAACATTATGTTAGCTCACAAATGGATGGCCTGTCTTTATCTTTCATAGCAAGCGTGACCTATTTCAAATCTTCACATCAGTTAGTAGTTTCTCCAATAAATACCTGTCATCGAAGCTCACACATGCAAGTGTCTCTGCAATGATCAGAGTAAAAAAAAAAAAAAAATCATCATCATACGGATTTAAAAGCTCACTGCTCATCTGTAGTCATCTTCTTATAGTTTCTAATCCCGTGCCTTCAATCACAGTGGCACATGCTGACCTCTTTGTTCCTGCTGAGAACAGAGCCATTAGGCAGCCCACAGGGAAATTTCAGAGAAATATTCTTCACTTCAGCCTGCTGCTGTTTCATGTGTATCCTTTGATTTGGATTAACGTCATCAATAAACAGGGCTGTGAACCCTGCATCCAAATGAGCTCAGTCTATCCTGGAAGATTTCTATTAGTATGAAACAGCCACTGCTTTACAATAGGAGTTGATATAAAATATCCTAACTGCAATATATCATCATCTTGACTCTTCTGATACAATAATAATGGTGCTTTTATGAATTACGGTAAAATGAACGTAAGTTATTTGGCCAAAGAAGAAGGCAGCGGTAACTAAGGAAGTGATGGAGATAATGTCAGACAGCAGTGAAAGAAGTTAAAGGATGAAGAGTGATGAGATCAGAAAGTGACACCAATTACAGTGGATAAAAACATTAATCCTGCACTTTAGCTTTTTAGTGGCATTTTTTATTCTTCAGTTAAACAGATATATAATGATGATTTATTCATTGATGATTGTCTTGCAATCACAGAATCATGATATAATAGTTATTGTGGGCTGTGTATTGTATCGTATCATATCATATTGTGAGTTAGCCTACAATTTCCACCCCTTGATTACAAAGAGTAAAATTATGTTGTGCAGTGACAGGATGGGCCACCAGTAACGGCCCTGACTTTATTTGAAAATGTAAGTCATCCTCAGAGGGGTTTGGTGTCCAAATGAAAACAAAACAGAGATAAAGGAATTACTGCAGTAATCGTTTCCTTTCCGTTGCATCATAAAACCGGAAAAGAGCAGAGGTCGATTTCCTCCGGGACAAAAGCGCATCAAGAGAGCAGGGTCAACTATGCTTTTAGATACTTTTAGAAAAGTTGTGATTTTAAAAGTTGTTACCATAGACTGTAAATTTTAATGGATGAAGCATTAGTGACATCACCCATCTGTTCCTGCAGGGGGCTTTAGTGTCTCATCGATGGCGGTCGCCATGGTGGAAATGCTGTCTCAAGCTAACTTTCAGTCAATCTAATGACAGGATAAGAGCTGGATCTGAGGCGGTTTTTAAGCTTGAATAACGCTTATCCTTCAAAAAATAAAAACAGATGAGTAATTCAAATCTCTACCCCCGTACAGTCAGTGTCGATCAAGACATGAGCTAATCAGACCTATTTGGTTTTTTGTACCAGACTGATTTAAATATTATGGAAGAAGAAAAAAATGTTGCCCTCTACGATGCTTGGCATAATTCAGGCACTCCTATGTTAACCCCAGGAACATCTGGGTTTATGTGTATAATTACAGTATGATGTTGGACTTGGACTGGGCACGTTTTTGGATATTTATCAAGATGTGATGTTGACTGAGAAATCTGCAAGTAGAATTAATCTGGCTTCAGTCCTGTACATGTTTCTGAAACGTGAGGGTCTGAAAACTTGTCAAATGTCAGTGTCAAACTACCAAATAGCACTTAATCACTAAGACCTTAAGATCCTTTTGGATAAGAAAGATCCCACACAAAAATCTATTATTTATCCATCCTAAATTTACATTCACTGACAGACGATATGCATTATCAGAGCAAACAAATGATTTTCTGGATTAAAAAATACTGCCTTGGTAAATCATTGAGGGTTCTCCTGCTCTGACAAAATGTATTAAAGAATACAATGCCAGTCGATGAAAAAAAGAGGATCATCAGGTCAAAAATAGAAAGGGAAACTTTGAACAATTTGTGACTCTACAGTACTTGTGTCACTGCAGGATCACTTTGTCTGTGAGAGCACCTGTTGTCAAGATACCCAGTTCAGCTCTAGCATTTTGGATTATTAATAATAATCTCCACTGTGGTCTGCCAAGGGCAGAGGTTTGCTTTTAGTCCTGGTCCACTCTAAAACTAGGTCACTCCTTTAATCTCTGCATGTAGAGTATACTGTAGGTTAACAGCCCTTTCATTTGATAAAGCTCAGAACGCTAGCAGAGTGAACATGAACCATGCAAAATATCTAGAAGAGATGACACAGTGCTGCTGTGAGGATCAGCATGAGGGCTGAACTGACCCACCTGCAGGAACCCCAGTGGTGTTAGTCCTGTATTATGAGCCATCATACAATTTTAACAATCTGTGTTAAGCTTGTTATACACCTTAAACCCTTTAAGGAATTGAAATGAATGCAACTGTTAAATATATACAGACACAAAAAAGTATACAGTTCAAACAAATAAAGGTGTCAAATAAAAGGTAAGAACTAATTATAAAGTTTTTATTACTCAGTAAAAACTGGAATAAAATAACGTTTTATTTTTGAAAATATCTTACCTAGCCTGTGCTCTATGAGTCCGTCCCTCTCTGGTGCAGCTCTGATACTATATATTCTGTACAATGCTGCTCCCAAGTGGTTAAAAAGTGATGCTGGATTTCAAATGTTTTTGAGTGCAGGATTATTTCTAACAAGTGTAAGTTATACCCATGTGAACAATGGCTCCCCTATATTCAAGTGTCAAAGGAAACAGCACAATTTGACAGTGAATCAGTATGCACTAATCAAGATCCTCAAACTAATGCCCACTAATGGAATTCAGCCACCTTTCACTTTCATGGCGTTTCAAAATGTTGTCTGTAAAAGAGGTCTAGAAGACATGATGCAAATGACAAAAAAAAAAACCCAATAAATTGGAGATCTTAAAGGTTGTTTAAAATCAGAGGGAGGCAGACACGTAGAGCACATTTTTGGAATAGTTGGTGTTTAGTGTAATGTTAAGCCTGTCTGTCCTTCACAGTCTAATAAGAAGGGAGGTAATGGGGTGATGATGGAAAAGGGCTCCACCTTGGTCCAAAGTATATGTTGCTAACCTTACCTATCCTCTCTTTATTTTTACAGAAAGCAAAAGATGGTGAAACCAAATGAAAATCTGGATAAACAAGTTCATTTGTTTCTACTTTTAAAGAATATTGGCAAATAACTTTTCTTATCAGCGCCTTAACTGTTTCTATAAATTCATTTGTGCGTTCTGTTTATTGAAGTGAGATGCTTTTAATGGTCAGTGGGCCAATGGAAACTTGTAAAGCTATGAACCATCGATGCTCTGAAGATGTGTTTTCGAGAGTTCAGCTTCCTACATGTAGTATAAATAAACATGATTTTAATTTTCTTTAATATAATCACGGCATTTGCTAAATTAACCAGTGAGCCTATTGGTTTGGCAAAAGTAAGTTTGCAGCAGGTCTCTTTTTTAAAAAAAGTGCTTTGACTAAACGGAAATGGACTCAATGTAATCTGTGGGCAGTTCCACAAAAAAGGGGGTCTTTATTCTAAATTGCAGGGTGTTTAGGGATCACGTGATCACCTCTCCGACACAGGATGTCCCACACACGGGAGAGCGGTGACGTGAAGCGTGGCTGCAGTCAGCTCGCTCGTGCAGTGGAGGAGTCCAACACATTGGGAAAGTTTGATGAAAAGTTTCGGAAAGATTACATTTAAAACTGTTCGCTACTTTTATTACATTACTTCAAACGCACATTGACAGAAAGAAGGAAAAACTACACACAGACACCGATATGGCTAAGCGTCGTTTTCTTTATCTAATACTTAATTGAAATACATTTTCCTCGCTCGTGCTCCGTTCGGCTCTCTTTCATGTGGAAGTTTCCGCGCGCCGTCCGTGCCTCCGCGCTGCATCTCATTCATCCTGCTCAGGAGAGGAGCCCGCGTCCGAGGATACAATGAAGCAGTGTGTCCTTGTCCGAGACAATGCCGCAAGATGCAACGAAGGGACCGTGCCGTTTCTTCCAAGAGCAGGAACATTTTGTTCGATGGCAGAGACAGAACAGCTAAAGGTTTGTTTCAGCCCGCTACACGAACACCTCGACATCTTCTGTGATCTGGCAGGAAATGACTCAAAGCGTTAGAAAAACAACCCTGTAGATACACCGGCGCACGGTAGAGCGTGTAAACATGCTGCTGACATGCGCGTAAAACACCACACACGATGAATCATGTCAAAATATCTCACTATTATCACCACTGGCGAATGTTTTATAAGTGATACAGGTATGAATGATAATAGTGCAACGATAGAGGCAGTCCACAGTGGTCGATCATTCTCTCTAGTAGCTCTACATGTTACTGACTCACAGAACAAGAAGAAATGTATCCAGATTTTGATTTTGACTATTTGAAGGCATTATTTTCTCATCTCATTGCATGAGGGATTAATAGTATGCAGAAGTATTCATTAGTCTGTAGTCATTGCGGTTCGGTGAGGGGGATGTAGAAAATGCTCCTGAATAGAAAGCCCCCTCCCCCCTAAATGACAGTATTAAGTGGCTGGCACACACACACAGAGAAGGGGGGAGTTTTCTCAATTTCCAAATGGCACATGACGTCAACATTGAAAATCAATCAATCCTATAGAAGCGACTAACTGTGCCTACAGAAATTAAACCATTTTCAACATTTCCCTTTTCGCAATTAATTGTTTATTCTAACACCCCTGAATGAACAGCAAAACCTTCAGTGGGGATTTAGCTTTCATCACCTCCACGAGATTCTGTTTGAAGGCTTTGAAGGCAGCCATTAATGTAATTTGTAGTGAGATGATAAACAGAGTGATGTGTGTTTCTGCTTGAGCAGATAGTCAGATTTGCCAAACGCTCCAGTGATTCTTGAATATGTAAAAGTGCTCAGCTCAAGTGCTTTCAGCCTGACAGTTTGACGGCTATGGCATATTAAGCTCAGATAATTGGGTGATATTTACTTACAGAGCACACAATCACTCCACCACCACTTGGATACTGTGTCTTTTTCCCCTTAATGATACACTTTGTAGAAATGATTCACTCTCTTGACAGCTCCAAATGGCATATGTGTGTGTGTGTAGTCTACATTTCATTGAAATGTAGACTACACAGTGAAAAGACGATGTATTCAAAATTAAAAAAAAAAGTGTTGTACTGATTAAAGTTTCATATAAAGGTCAATGTCAAAATGGTTAATTTGTTGAAAGTCTTTCAGAGAAGACATTCATTGTTCTGTATGGCTTTATGGGTCTTCTTCCTAATAGATTGCCTCAGCTGTCTTCAACATGACACTGTAACGCAATACTCCCACAGAACTTCAACTCATTATGCATGCTCTGTTTTTTTAGATTATATTTTGAGCTTTAATGCTTTTGTTAGAAAGGAGGACAGTTAATAGAGTAAGAAACAGAGATGAGAGAGTGGGGAATGACCTGCAGCTTCAAGGACCATAGCCTCTGTACGTGGGGTGTGTGATTTCACTAGGCTCTCGAGCGATCCAAAGATTTAGTTTTGTCACTACCTGGCTCTTACTTGCACTTTTGCTAGTAAACGGTGCTGACATGTTGCATCTTTTGATCAAATAACTATACTTGATTATTTAAATGAAACGCAGCAACAGTTTTAGTTCTTCAGTTCTGAAACGGGCCTCATGTTAAAGACAAGTGGTGTTGAAATCACATATAGTAGGCTACTTGCTGTACCCCCCATTCTCAGAGTCTCAGCACCATATGGAAGCGCTCCACTATGTTTGCTGATATGTAAACCCGCCCTGTGTATGTTGACTCCCCAACCAGTCTTTCGTTTTCTTCTTCTAACCTGACCCCAGCCCCTCTGACGCTGATTTATTAGTGGTTCTCAGAAATGAAGAAAACAGCTTGGCCATCAGCGCTCCACATAATCAAATATTGAACATGTTTGATTCTATGGTTGTTTTAAAATTTGAACATCCTGTTATTCAGCCTCATACTATATTGACCCTTCCTCTTAACCAGTGGAAGTTTTCTCAAAAGCCAAACATAGTTAGCACCAGGATTGATATTTATTTTTGTCATTGTTAACCATTTGTACACTCAGGTTCTACTGTTTTTCTCATTGTAGAATGAAGCTTCATCCCCTGCATGACATGCTATGACCATCACACAGACTAGACTCTAAACGTCCAGTGACAAAGCCAGGATGAAGACCAAATATGCAATTGTCTTCATCTGTATTGTGGCTCTGGTCATCATCGAGAAGGAAAGCAACATTCTATCAAGGTAAGAGAATTAGAAAAAGCTGGTTCTTGACTCTGCAGAGGAGCATGCCGTAAGATGCAAGAAAACTAGGGAATGAGTCATTTGTGAAAACAGCAGGACAGAGCTTTGTCTTCTCTCTAATTAAACCATTCCGCCCTACTGAGCATTCATCATGACTTTCTGAGACGGCGTCTTAATATCCTTTTAAATTTCAAAAACAGAATTTGAGAATAACCTATCTGGATTTTTCTGCAGTCTTGTATTTTGCAAACTTTCTGCTTCCTTGTGCATATCTCAGTGCATATGAAATGGTTAAAAGTTAAATCTGCTGGGATTGCCTGGAAGTGTGTCATTTGTTCTGGGATTACCGTGACACTTTAAAGCGGTGACATTTTGGTCTACTAATGTGCCTCCTGCAGAAAAAAAACGTACACGAGAAGATTTAAACCACTCTGTTTTTATAATCTTTAGACACTGCCAGGCTAACTCCTAAACCCTGTTTTCATGCTTTATGCTAAACTAAGTTGTGCAGCTGCTTTCTGAAGTAAAAGTATTCCTCTAAGAAATAAGACCAAAGCTGTGATAATCTGGATATTGTACATTTACACTACTACCATGTAAACATGTTACCTCAATTGAAATGTAAACACAAGACCTATCTTAAGTGTTTATACTTAATCTGTTGTTGATTTTTAAGTATTCTCTATATCTCATCAGGGTCTCTGATAAACTGATCCAGAGGCAGATTCCTCAGCAGACCCCGCAGACTCCACTGGATTACAACAACACAACTCATAATGGCTCACTAGCGATGCTTAAAATGCTGCTCTCGAAACTCACTGGTACTACCGGGAATTACTCAAGTCTCTCTGAAGAGGAAGAGGAGGAAGAGCTAGATGGTTTAAGCACGTACAGCTACAGCGCTGGCCGCAAGCACATATTACTCCTGGCCAGCACGCGAACAGGCTCCTCGTTTGTGGGGGAATTTTTCAACCAGCAAGGGGAGAACATGTTCTACTTGTTTGAGCCTTTGTGGCACGTCGAGCGCATGCTGACTACGGCTTCAGAGGCAAACAACGGGACAGTGTTGGCAGGAATTTACCGGGATGTACTCCAGGCACTCTTCTTGTGTGATTTCTCTCCTCTTGAGAAGTTCATCTCTCCTCCACCTGAGGACCACATCACCCCGGCTCTTTTCCGCAGAGAGTCCAGTATATCGCTCTGTGAAGAACCCGTCTGCAGTCCTGTAATCAAAGAGGTTTTTGAGAGGTATTCTTAATGTTCTTTAAATTCACTGTTTGTCTGAATTTTTGTTTGGACTTTAGTGCCTTCGTTTTTATTCTAAAAAAATGGAATGACTCTTCTGTACAGATTATTAAGCCACATCTAACAAAGACTATTCCATTCTTGTCACAGGTACCACTGTAAGACTCGTCGCTGTGGGCCCCTGAACTTGACCCTTGCATCCGAGTACTGCCTTTCCAAGCAACACCACGCCATAAAGACAGTCCGTGTGCGACTGCTGGACACGTTACAGCCTCTGGTGGAGGATCCTCGCCTGGACGTAAGGGTGATCCAGTTAGTCCGAGATCCACGGGCCATCTTAGCGTCTCGCATGGTGGCTTTCTCTTCCAAGTACCAGACTTGGAAGACCTGGGCGCAGGACGGCCAGGTGCCTGAGGATGACGAGGAGGTGAAGAGGCTCAAAGGAAACTGTGACAACATCAGAGTTTCTGCAGAAGTGGGACTGAGTCGACCTCGCTGGCTAAGGAGACGCTACATGTTGGTGCGTTATGAGGATATTGCCCGCTTCCCCATGCAGAAGGCAGAGGAGATGTACAGGTTCACAGGGATACCATTTAGTCCCCAAGCTAAGGAGTGGATTCTTAGGAACACCCAGACCACACAGGAAGCAAGGGGGATTTACTCCACCCAGAAGAACTCCTCTGAGCAGGCGGAGAAATGGAGATATAACATTCCCTTTACACTGGCACAGGTGGTGCAGAAGGTGTGCGGGCCCACCATGAAGCTGTTTGGGTACAGATTTGTGGATGATGAAAAGACACTGACCAATAAGTCCATCAGTTTGCTTGAGGAAAAACTTTTTCATTGATCAAAAATGTAGCTGTGAATCTGTAAAACACTGCACACAATGGATAGGAACCAAGAGAAGCCATTATTGCTCAAACCAAAACTCAGCAAAGTTGCCATAAAAGACGTTGTGCCATACACAAGCATTCATTCTCACCAATGATGTGCCTCATTGTAAAATGAAGAGCCACTTATTAAAGTATTTATTTGCATATACTGTGTTCATAGAGGAGCATGGTATTTCAGCTTTATGTCACGCTCTGTATTTCATTTAAAATGAAATGGCAGAAGTTGGGAGTCTTGACTTTTGAGAGATTATTATCTACAAACTTTTTTGACATATGCACTCAGGAGCAGCCCTGAAATCCTCCTGAACTGGTCTGTCACACTTGCCCCTCACAGCTGGAGACTGTCCCGGGCAGACGGAAGGGGGCGCAGGGGGTTTCCTGAGGCAAGACGGAACGTAAAAAGAACGAGGAAGTAGCAAACAGAGTAAACACAGTCCGCTGTACGAAGCTGTGTTGTTTGACCGAATCACAATTTCAACAAATTTCAAACATTCATTCTCCTGATAATATCCTGCTGAGTTCTCACATCAGCTCACTTGGATTATCTGCAGAAAGAAATACTAGGGGGCTGGCAGGAGAGATGTGGGTGTTTCCACAAATGCAGCTCTTCCTGCAAATATCAGGAGTTTTACTGGAGTTTTGTGAAAGTGTGTAAGCACTACAGGTTTGCTTTCTTCTTGGATCGTGTTTAGATTCAGGTAAAACGTACAGAAAGTGAAAGTGGTGCAAGTTTGTTTGCATAGTATTTGTTGCTAGTGCTTGATTTGAGTTTTGTAGCAGGTTTTTTTGATCTGCACTTCACTAGGCGACTGATTGACTCACTTTAGGTTCAGCTATACCTGTTGTGCTTTTATTGGCTTTGCGTATCCGACTCAGGTAAATGAATGTTGTATTTCATTTTGTGCCATCCTCATGAGGGGTATTTGTTGTCTTTCCAAAAGTGTGTCAGAATACAAGATGATCTGTAATATATTCAACCAAATGGCAGTTAAAGCAATTGTCTTGTACTATAATTCAAAGTACAAGACAATTGCTGTTTTAAAAAAGAGCCCAATTACGATGGAAGTATAACACATGCCGGTTCATAAGGCTATGTGAAATATGGGGGAAAAAAAAGATTTTATTTATACTCAAGATACCGACATGTGTCTTAAACTTACAGATGTTGTTTTTCTTTAGATATATTAGTCATGGCGTAGTGTTTGTCAGTCTTTCTGCTAATGGCCTGTTGCTCCCTTCAGAACACACTGAATAGAACGGGGTAAAGTCAGAGCTGATTTATTGATTTAAGACGGGTGTGTTCATGGACACACAAAACAAAGTCTTTGGAGTTGTTTTAATGACTTTCCAACTCAAATAATAATCATTAAAATCCATAGAAATATACTCAGACCTGGAAACTTTAAACAGTAATGAAAGGGAATGATACATTATGAGACTTGTGTATGTTTAGGATTTTTGTGACAACTAATATTTAACATGTACGTGAAGTGTGTTACTGTATTAATGTGGCCTGTCACTTTAAGTGAACCCCAGGTGCTGTTGCATTAACTGTCTCTCTTTATGGTATATAAAGGTATCCACTGTGACTCTAGTTCAATGGCGGCATTGTGTTCAGCTGGGCTGAGGCACAGCTGAAACTGCCACGCTGCTCAAGGAAAGGGATATGCGTTAGAGGTACATATAGTAGTGGGCTTGTACTAACTTGGTGTTTAAAATATAAATATGAATACATTAGAAATAGCTGGCCTCACCCTCAAATTGCCCAGGCACTACCGAGGAATTTAAGCAAAAAGGGAATACTGTGAAATACCAGGTGCAGCTGAACGAATGGGAGCTCCTGCTTTTTGGCTTTTAACTGCTACAAACTCAAAGGGTTGCAATAATTATGTGGAGGCAATACCATTTTACATTTATGTGTCTATCATAAAAGTTTATATTTGACTGTAAAAGTTGGTGTTTCAAGCTTCATTGAGAACCTGAGCTGTAATAATTCCCATTCTCATGTTGTAAAGTTAAAGTTAAGTCAAAACAATTCACAGTTAATGTAAGGTATTTCTTTCTTCATGGTCACTGTTTCATTCTATTTTAATATTTTGTTCCTTAGGTCTATCAAAATGGTTTTAATTGCTGAGACAAAACCCTTTTAATACGTACGTAGAGAATGTGTGGCTCTGCTGGGCTTTATTTTTCTGGGTCAAACAACCCAAACATTTGCCTTAAAGTCATTGGGCAAGTCTTAAGTGAAGTTTTTAGAAACCTTTTTTTATTTTATTTTAATCTGTGGAATTCCTCAGCTCAAAAGAATCTACGCTGTATACCTCTATACTAAGTCTGCAAAAATAAATGTTCTATCCTTCGTTATTCTTTTCAGAAACCTGCTCAAAGTATTAGATTCTGCAACAATGCAGCAAAAAAAACCAAGGCTTTCAACTTATTAAGCAGAAGTGAACAGTGTGGTTATTTATGAGGCTGCAGAGCGGTTGATCAAATTCATGGAAGTCTTCAAACATTCAGTTACTCCATCCTAACTGAGATACTTGACACTGACTTCAGCTGTTCTCTGTGAAGCAGCACACTGAAGAGTTTTTCAGACTTTCTGTGTTTTCAGAGGGAAATCCCTTAAATAGTTTTATATTAATTGCTGTCGGAGTTCACTTACACATCTATCGTCTTTCCTGTAACACTCTTGTTGTATTTGCATAGGAAACCAAGAACCAAAGCACAGATTATGTTGTAGCAGCTACAAATGTATGTAATTTGCATCTTTGAAGCCATCTTTTCTGTAATGTGACAATGCTCCTTGTGTGAAACATAAAATCATCTTTTTAAAGGTCAGACGAATCAACATTTTGCTTTTAACATCATGTTACAATGTTAATCCCTCAAACATTTCCACCGGGGAAACTGGAATGGTACATTCTGACGTGGCCTTGGTTTGTGTGTGTGTGTCTGTGTGTGTGTAAATGTTCCTTTTTACTGCAGACAAACTGATTTGGTCATTTAAAATCTGAGTGTAGCACCAGAGAGGAGCTTTATATCTACTTTTTCTTAAAAGGATTTTTCAGCAAAAGAACTCAACTCCCTAATCTTTCCTATCAATGTTTGTGTAAGCATAGAAATGAGTCAGAAGACAACATGTAAAAAAATCAGGATTAATGTGGGATTGTTTACTCAGTTGCATTCGCTCCACAGCCAAATGCATGCTGTTGCCAGGGAACCCAAAACGCCTGAGTGGGAATAGTAAAGAGGGGAAAAGGCCGACACAGGGACCCCATTCAAGACTGCATTCTTTCTGTCCGTTTCTCGCCTCAGCCTAGATAAAGCACTTTTGAGTTCACAGCTGTTTCTCAAGCAGATTCCACCCTAGACCTTTTCCTAATGCTGAATATTCCCACAACAACGCGGCAGATGTTTTAGTTTTGCAAAAGTTTTGGCGATAAGCCGCTCGACAGCCCAGTTTGGCGGAGTCTCAAGGTTCCTTTGGGCGTTGTTTGAAAGCATTAATGATGCTGAGCAGCGAGTTACAAAAGTGGGAGTTCTACCAGCACATAGACAAGGATGAGCATGTTCACTTTCCCAGAACGGAGTAAAAAATGAGGTTGAGAAAGATATTTATACTAGTTGTCAGTCATGCCAAAAAGGACAAAGTAAAATTGCACACAATAAGAAAAACGGAAGTCCTGGTTTTACATGGCCTGACCCAGGCTAGATCTGGCCGATTCAAAATCCTCACAGACGTTCAGCGCCTTTTTGAAGAGGCACTGAGAAAGCCAAAACCACTTGCCTTGCAAGGGAAAGTAGGTTCATTTCAATGAAAGCAAGTGCCTTCTTTGACAATACAGCTGAAGTTCTACAAAGCTAAAAGTTTGGACCAGAACATATTTGGAACATAGACAAACCTGAGGACACTCTGGCAGTACTTCGAGGAGTAAACTGGCCACGCTCCAGCTACCAGTCCCAATTTCTGGTCTGTACCAGGACTTAAACCGGCCACCCACAGGTTCCCAACCAAAGTCCCTAAAGACTGAGAACTGCCACCAACATGTTCCTGTTCATGGAAAATACAGAATGATAACTTACCTGATGATAGGTGAATTCAAAAATGCTAATTGTGTACTTCACAATGTATAACTAAGCAAGCTGTACAAAGTATATCTAACATTTGGAAAACTTTTTTTTTCTAGTGATGTGCTGTGTTCAATAATGTCTTGTGAATGAGGGGCAGATTATATGAGATTATTCTTCTTCTCATTTCCATTCAAGATTTGAGATTTGATGTTTGTATTTAATTGTTTGGTCAATGAATGACAAACAAAATATAAAAAAATAAACATGAAAAAAAAAAGTAAGCAAAGTTGATAACATTAGAAATGATCAAACTAAAAATAAAATGAAGGAAAAAACTGCAAAGAAAGAAAAAAAATATATACTATGCACCTATAGATTTAATATTTCCTGTAACGAGTGAATACAGTGACAGGCTGCCTGTTTTCACTGAGAGCAGCAGCTTGAGAATTGTCATGGGGACAGCTGCTGGATTGTTTATATTTGGGTAAGGGTAAGGGTAACTCGACCCCAGAGTTTTGGCTAAAGTGCGCCCACCCTGGAATTCATGAGCATGACGCTTCATGAGTAATGAGCAACGACTCGAGAAGCAGAAATTACATTTTTAAACAGAAATGTCATTTGAATTCGTGGACTTCTCTCCTCCAGAGTCTCCTGTAGGCCACCGAACATCAGTAAACAAATAGCAGCTAACTAGCAGTGACCTGACAGCTGTAGTATAGTTCCTAACAGCATAACACAGGAGTTTACCCTCACGACTCTTACCTCCAAGATGCTCCAAGTTTGTTAAAAGTCCTCTTCTTTATCCTCATCATCTTCAATCTGTGTCATAATGTCTCCTAGCATGTTAGGAGATGTGAGTAGTTTTCTCAACTCTACTGCGTTACTTATCAATAACACGGTTTATTAGCAACATCCACCTTTGGCCAGCTATCAGTAGGCTATCCTGGCAGCTGATAGTAACCCCAGGTAGCCTACAGCGAGAAACAGAAAAAGGTTCTAAAACTTACATTTAGTGCAACTTCTTCATGCAGTCAACTTCTTTACCTTCGTTACTATACATCATATCCTCACTATTTTGTTTTTTCTTTTTATATTTAAATTGTACTGTGTTCACGTTTTGCCTGCAATCTTTGCTCTTTGCTGCTGTAACAATGTAAATTTCCCATTGTGGGATAAATAAAGGATTATCTTATCTTATCTTATACTGCATCTCATCCCAAAGTATCAAAACAAGTTAGCTATTAGCATTGTGGACAATGTCCTGCTCAATCAGACTTAAAATGTTAGGAAACCACAAATCAAAGCAAGCACCTATGAATGCCATCGTCATAAAAAAAAAAAAAAAGAATGCCACAGTCATAATGTCTTGCATCACAAAGCATTTAATGTATTCTTCTCATTTTCTTTTTATTCACGTTTATGATGTCAGAGGTCAAGCGGGAACTTGTCCATCGATATCAAGAAGAAGACAAGTGCAGACTTGAACAAAAATACAAACGAAACGGATAAATAACAATCAGAAAAGTGAGAACAGTAAGCGGGAGAGTGGAGAGAAGACAAATATGGAGTCTGACGCTTTACATTGCTTTCAGATAACATAAGTATTGTTTAATATTCCAAATGAATATTCCGTCGATTAAGCAGCTTGCTCGCTGAAGCACTCAACAACAACTTTAACTGTCCGCCAGAAGAAGTAAGACTACTGGAGGAAAGATGAGCAACAACAGGGGGAAAAAAGCTCCAGGTGATACAGGTATAGTCGCAGTGTAAACAGAGCTTTAAAAACAGTGTATTTATTTCAGTTTTACTTGATAACCTGTGCTGTTATCCATTTGTTTTTAACATACAGTTGAGTTGACATCTTGTGCTGTTGGTTTTTACTTCCAGTAGGCTACTAAAAACTTTGAGTTTTGAAAATCAGTGTGGCTCTTCATGTTTGGGCCTGCAGTAGGCCCTATGCCACACTGAAGCAAAATAAAACATTACAACACATGGATAAGGGACTTACACAAACGTGGCTTAATGACTTGAGCAGGTAGGGAGAGGCTTGCAGGGTCTTGAGCCCACCTTAAGCCCCTGCCTTACCTCCCAATGATATTTATTTGTTTTAATATCTATCAAATACTCTATGTTAAATAAATAAACACATCTCAATTGCTAATGTTTATATAAAATAGTGTTAGTATATTGCCAAATAGTCAGCGGATGGTGTAAATGGCGACGATAATGTAAGCTACAGCTGCTAAATAGAAATTGAGAGAGATTGTAGAGAGCCTTTACTGTCATGAAACAGTTTTACAACGAAATTAGACTTGAGTCCACTTAAAGTGCACAAACATACAGGCATCCACTGCTACAAACAGCTTGTATTCAATGAAGAGGCCAGATAGTAGGAGTTGTGTTTCGCTTTTTCCATTGAACTGTTTGAGGAATCAACCTTCTCATAATCACTTTTGTAAATCCACAAAGGTTTTTTTTTGTGGTGACTTTGATTTGGACTATCATGCTTGCGTGAGCTGTGTATACTTTTTTGTATGCATTTGATTTGTTTATTTTTATACTAATAAAATAAAACAGGTTGTTAATGCAAATTCATTTTGTCCATATTTACACATAACTGGACAAGTCTTTGCTCTGATGTTATTTAAGACAGGTGCCGATGATAACCTTTATGACTTAATTTAACAGTGTGCATCCCCGTGTTTTGTTCTTTCTCTGTTTACTAGTTTTCAAGAATGTAGATATATTTGATCTGAGGCTTCCCTCTTCATGGACTCAATGATTTAACTTACCTGCTCTCTCTACTCTAAATGTCGCCAAGGTGATTTGCAATTTTTCTCTTAAAGAAGAAAGAATGCTGAAACTGTTTCAGAGTTTTACTTTGATGTTTTCCAGTGTTGTACTACCTGAGGAATTTATTTGGAAACATTTTTTAAGTGTGGTCTAGTCTCTATGGTAAAGAAACCATTTAAACAGCATGAAACCATGATAATGAAAGAAAGCTGGAGTGTGTTGTGTTGTTCAATGCAGTGGCTCTGCTACTGGAGTTTATGGCCTTTTGTGGCTAATCACCTCAGTGTTTCCTCCCAAAGCGCTTAAGAGCCCTGCAGTTTGAGTTTCCCTTTTTTCATTACAAACACAGAAAAACCTGATATTTAATCTGCAGTGTTTGTTGCTATACATATATATTGCCTATACATTCACCTGCAACTCTTTTAAAGATGACGAGCTCAGTTAAGAAATAAGGTAAAATTTGGCGATGCTTGCTCCAAGGGGGACACTGGTTTAGACTGTCATGATGTTAAACTATTTACCAAGAGAGGCCCAGTGTCCTTTTATGCACACACATTGAATGCCTCTACCTGTGCTGTTTAACGGACTGGAGAAGGCTATGGAAACAGGAAACCCACCCCCCTTATCAACTTTTTTTTTTGGCTCTCTTCCATATTCCTCCTCTTAAACATCCCCATGCTGTCTTACTTTGGTCTTCTTACATTAGCTGGTTTTGGCAGTAAATGGTTGTGGACTGGAAAGATCAACAAAAGCAGATTTTGTTGATTTGTTAATACCTGTAATGGAATGTGTGTTTTTAGGGTGAGTGACTTCTTTTGGACTTCTTGGGATCCTGACATCCACTTTCTATCTTAAGCTATATCCAGTATCACACAATGACCACTACTCAAGTCCAGCTCTCCACCCCTCAAGCAAACACACAC